GCGTCCTATAGTCTGTTCTGATTTGATGTTAAAACCTGATATGTGTTCTGGTTTTTAATCTTCGGATACCTTGTTTGTCATGATAACTAAATGTAATTCTATTATTTAGCTAAAGATTGTCTAGAGAATAAAATAAGGGTTGTGGTGAACCCTTCATTTGTTTGAATTGAGCATACATTTGCATAGACCTGGTATTCTTTCAAGGGATGTGTGCATTTAAGCCAAAGCATCTATATAGTACAGGCTTTTGGTGCAAATTTTTCTAAAGAAAAAATATCCCAGACTATTGGCTTAATGGAAATACTTACCGAGTTCACTACTCTATAATTGTGTATATAATATTAATCTCCTTAACTAGCAGTACTTGACATGCCTCAAAAACCGTGTCTTTCACCTACCCAGTAGTTGCTTCAGCCTGCCTTCGTGCTCTTCCTACTGTCCTGTGCTGTTGATTTGTAGAGGCTTAGAGCTATACTAACAGTCTAAAACCTGAGCATGGTGATTGCAGTGATGTCCAGGTTTTCAGGAAGGACCAGTGAAGGCGCCTGATGCGCGGTCAGGAGCCAGCACCAAGCGGTGTCTTCACAGGCCGACCATGGACATGGTCAGCTCGTTGACTTGGCCCATGATCTGGGCCCGATGGAGGTGTGCTTGAGAGGGTGGGAGGTATTCTCACTGACTTGTCCACATCCGTCTTCAGATTTGACTTGAAGACATTGCCTGTAGACTTTGTAGAATGCTTGATGAGGTTCTTGCCAACTGAGAGCGAGGTGAAGGTGCTTCGGCTCTACGAACGGGAAAGGAAGCCTCTGGAGAACTTGTCGGATGAAGACCGGTTCATGATGCAGTTCAGTAAAATCGAGAGGCTCCTGCAGAAGATGACCATCATGGCCTTCGTTGGGAACTTTGCTGAGAGCATTCAGATGCTCACGCCTGTGAGTGGACCGACTCTGGCAGGGGAGGGGGTCCAAAGAGAAACGGACCTTTTTTTTTCTTTTTAAGCTCCTCAGAATAATGTACTTAGTGTTATGGGCTCCAAAGGCTCAGAACTTTTGACACTGCATTTTTATTTTGGCCATCTATTTCACATTGTGCATGCCAAGCAAATTTAAAAATAATGAATTTTCATATTCCATATCGTGCTCCCGAGAGGATGCCATGTTCTGTGCCTACTGATGTCCTCTGGATTTCAAAGGATACTTCAATATGGAGAACAAGGAAACCATTTTCTCAAACTCAGTTCCCTCCTGAAGATACCAGTCATTTGGCTGGGTTGGCAAGACTGAAAATGTGACTTTCACTTCTAAAAATTATCCCATGTCTTTAGCGAACAGACTTACTGGCTTCCGCTGGAAGCATTAACTTTACCAAAGGAGTGTTCTTCCTTAGAATTTTGTTATGAGCACTGTGGTGACGTAGGAAGATTAGCTGACCATCTCTTGTTCCTATGTGTTAATCTTGTGGAGACGTAGGAATATCATGACATAAATATGATAAATAGTTCTTTCCCAGTATTTCTAAGTAAACTTTTAAAAATTACTGATTATAGTAGCATGTCTGATCAAAACATGTTCTGAGACTTCTAGAGGGAGATTATATCACTTTGCTGTTTAATTTTTAAGTTTTCATTCTTGGAAAACTCCATTGATTTAAAAATGTAAATTGTATTACAGGATTAGAGTTGGTGGGCAGGGAATTGAATTCTGCTGGAAGATGTTAACCCCTAACTCTGAGTCTCATTGGCTACAGATCCTGTGATAAGCAAGTTTTTGACATTAACTCATTCAAATTCTTTTAGAGAAAAGTTTGCATACGATGATGTGGTTACCAAAGACCTAGCAGGACATGTGAAATTTGTGATATTTAGTAGGAAAAATATAATCTCAGTATCAAAGCTTTAACGTCTCAGTGTGGGTCTGTTTTCCTCAGTGTTAATTTTTTTCAATTAGAGTTTCCCTTTTTTAACATGTCTTTTTTTCCCCTTCTTACTTCCTTTGACCGGAATCTAGCAACTGCACTCGATTATAGCGGCATCTGTCTCTATAAAGTCATCCCAAAAACTCAAGAAAATTCTGGAGGCAAGTGAAGTTTCCTCATATACGTGTGTGGAGGAGGTGATTTGTCACTGCATTCCTCTGCTTGGGAATGCCTGGGGTGCTGTACTCATGGGCTTCTCTTTTCTCCCCCCTTTTTTTTTTGCAGATCATTTTGGCCCTTGGAAACTATATGAATAGCAGTAAGCGAGGAGCGGTTTATGGATTTAAACTTCAGAGTTTAGATCTGGTGAGTGGACTAAAAATATATAAGAGCTAGATGAGACAAAACAGCTGGCAAAGATTGAGTCTTGGAGTGGAGAGAGTCAGCCCTTGGGAGCAGGGGCGGGAATGTTTTGATGAAGATGTTCTGCCAGTGGGAGGACCAATCGGCACACATTTGTGAACACCATTTGGCAGCAAGCACTTAGAACCTTGAAAATACTCATACCCTCTGAGCCAGTATTTCCATTTCTAGGAATCTTCCCTCAGGAGTCTGAATTGTGGATGCTGTGTTTTATTTATAATTGTAAATAATTAGTAACAATGCAATGATTCTACACTTGGGGAAATAATTAAATATGGTGCGAGAGTAGTTAATATGGTGAAAAATTCTTCAACTGTTAGAATATTTGTGATGAGTTTTTAAAGTAGTAGATAATTTTATATTTAGAGAAGAAAGTACAAAATGCACATACAGTTTGATTTCAGCTAAGTAAAACAGGAAAACCGAATGGAAGTAGGTTAAGACATTAACAGAGACTGGATGAAATTAGGGAATTTTTTGGATTGCTTCTTTATACTTTTCTTTATTAACTAAAAACTTTTTTTTTTTCCTGGATGGAAAAGGGTGCTTTTGCTTTTCATAGTCACCTGCCTTAACTGAGCAGGATTGGAGAAAACCCTCCACAGAACCCCTCCCAGGCTGGGCTGGGCTTACATGGCTTCTGTGTGACATGGGTGGCAGGTTGAGTCCCCAGCCCTGGGGGAACATGGTGCTTTGACGGGGAGTTTACACCTGGTTCTGGCCCTGAGAAGGTCATGGTCCATTAAGCAGATCTGCTTTGGGTCGTCTGAGGCTGGGCACTGAGAGAGGGCCTGCGCCAGGTGTGAGGATCACGTGTGGGAGCCTGACTTGCAAGGACTGCCTTGCACCCACTGCCACCTCCACCCTCACTCTGGGCCTTCACTGTGGAGAGCCCCTGAATTGGAGTCTTCTTGCTTTTTAAACCAGGGAGGTGTAGCGGGGGTGGGGTGTGGGGTGTGTGATCTGATGCAAGTAAAGATGTGTGAACAGTTCCAGGTGCTTAGAGGCCTCCCTGATGTGGAGCAGGAAGCGCCCTCCTGATACAAACATCAGTGGGCCGGTTTGCCACAGGACACATGGTCTTGAATCTCCGTGGAGATGTTTTGTCTGTGCTGGGACACTATGCTCTGTCACTGACTTGAGTGGGAGGGCATCACCTGGTGGGGAACATCATCTTTCACTCTAACCCACTTTCCCTTTTGTTTTCAGCTCTTAGATACAAAGTCAACAGACCGAAAGCAAACACTGTTGCACTATATATCGAATGTTGTAAAAGAAAAATATCACCAAGTGTCCCTATTTTATAATGAGCTTCATTATGTGGAGAAAGCTGCTTCAGGTACTTGATCTCAGCTATTAATGTTACTCTTGGGTGCTGAATGCCTTTCATCTTGGGGGTCTGTTCCCTGCTGGAGCAAACACTGTGCAGGATGCCTTTCAAAGAGCAAGGCTGAAACATCAAATTCTGAGCAGGAACCCATCAGCTGTGGCGCTGCCCACTCCTGGCAGCAGTAGTGACCGTGGACGTGAACCTCAAGTGTCCGTCCTCTGTTAAGAGCAGGTCTTTGGGCATCGTGCACCTGCCTTCTTCCATTTATTGCCCTTTTCTATTGCTGTCATTTGAAATAAGAGTATGAGACTCTGACCACCCCCCAGTAAATACCTGAATTTGATTTTGTGCTGTCCCACTTGCTCAGATGTGGCAGTTTTAAAAATTTTGCCTTCAGCCTGAGCACAAGTTCATTTACAATGACTTCTTGACTGTTATTTACTCTGACATGCATTTTCTCATTTAAATCATCAATGACTCTGAAGTAGTTGGGATGTAGTACAGGATGGTATCCCCATGCCATTGATTAGAAAACTGACATTTTTAGAGGTTAAAGGTCTTGCTCAAGGTTACATGGGTAAAAAAGTCAGAAAAAGAACTAGAACTCAGGTCATCTTCTCATATAGTGTAGTGTTCAATGTACCAGGTTCTCTCAAAAGAATATTGGGCTAAAAAGAGGAACAAGATGCAAACTGACCTTGGAGTTGGTTGCATGCTGTGAATCTCAAGTTATGAGCTTGAACCATGAGTCGCCAAGGTATTTACTGTGATTTCGTATTCCCAAGGCCTACCCCAGACTTAGTGACTTGCATCTTTGAGGGCAAGACTTTCTCTGACTTACTTAGATAGAATAAGTGGCTGCTGCTTCTGCATTCCTACTCAAGAACGCTCTGCACTGCCCTCTCAGATGAGATTCATCAAATTTTATAACAACAGTTTGCATGTCCATTGCGAGCTGTGTACTTCCAGGTATAACTGAGTTTCACGTACCTTTCTAATTACCTTAGCCCTGGCAAACTGCTGGGGGGAATAAAGGAATGAGCAAATGAATGAATGAGTGAATGGATGTGCGATTACCAGCAGTGGAGACTGAGGCAGGTGGAATGATATTCTCGCTGTGAGTGACTGTGCTGTGCAGGCGGTGACAGACCTAGGGGGCTCAGCGCTTCCTCAGGTGGTTACCAGGATTTCTCTTCTGATGGAGTGATTTTTCTTCTTTCAAGTCTCCCTTTGCCTAAATTAGGGGTTCTTTAGCATCACAATTCTTATTAACACACAAAAAAAGTAAAAAATTCCTATCTTACTAGTGAACACATTTTATTTGGCCCAAATGAGATTCCCTGAAAGTGTCATTTGAGAAAAACTAGTTGGGGAATAGACTGAGGTCCACTGTCTGAATTGGTGCCCAGGTGAGCTGACATGGATTCTTTATAGCTTTGCTCCTTTATTCACGCCTTCATTTCTCCCGTGAACTTTTTGAGTCCCAGTTGTGTACCTGTCACTGTCCTAAGCATTGAGGAGTCAAAGGCAAAAAAAAATGAGTGTGAGTCTACTGAGGGGAGAACACCTGTAGCTTATGCAGGTGCAGAGCCGAGTCAGCATCAGAGCGGGCCTGGGCCTCCTGCAGGAGGCTGCCAGAGTGTACCTGCTCTGGGAGGGTAGCCACAGGGTGAGGATAAAAAGGGTTATGCAGAATAAACCTTCTGAAGCAGCGAAGGATTGTTTAACAAAAAGCTGCCCAAGGTTGCTTTGAGTTCCTAGTGGTCTGTACAACTCAAATTCAGCCGGTAAGATGCTGCCCCCTCCTGGAGAGCCACAGAAATGCAAGAGGTCAAAGTGTGTGGAAGAGGAGTAGACGATCCAGTTGTGGGCCTGTCAGTTAAGGCACCTCTTGGTCGATAGGTCATCCAATAGCTTATCATCTCCTGTAAGAGAAATGGAATAGTTGGGTACCAGCACGAGATTTGGAGCCCACAGTTGTTATCCATCTCTGCCACCTCCTAGTTGTGTGGCCTTGGGCAGGCCCCCAAATCTCTTCCCAGTGCTTTTCCTTGTTGGCAAAATGGACCAGTGGTGCAAATGAATTGGTGCACGTGAAGCATTTAATGCAGTGCTTGGTTGGGAGCCCTTAGTAAAGTTTTCATATGAAAGGATCTCTGCACTGAAAGCTGGAGCTGGATCCTCGAGTATCCCTAGGATTCTGCCGCGAACTCGGCCTGCCGCCAGACACGCCGTGGTTTTGGTGCTCACGGGGTCTTTCTTTCTCTACTTCAGTCTCCCTTGAGAACGTTTTACTGGACGTCAAGGAGCTCCAGCGGGGCATGGACTTGACCAAGAGGGAGTATACCATGCATGACCACAACACGCTGCTGAAGGAGTTCATCCTCAGCAATGAGGGGAAGCTCAAGAAGCTGCAGGATGACGCCAAGATCGCACAGGTAAATCTCTCTGACCCTGGATGCCAGGAAGAAGCAATTGGGTCTCTTAAAGCCACCTGGGGCACTGGGCCTGGCTTTGGGGAAATTGCCCCCTGCCTGCTGAGGGTAGATTTCCTAGGTACTAGTGATTATTATGGGTAGGATCTTTCTGAGTATTGTACCTGGAAGTGCCCTGTCCTGCTCATTGTCCTCTTCTATTTTGGGGTCTCACCATCGTCTCCAGAAGCCCCCACCTTGCACTCCTCGGCTCCCTGTGGGTCATGTATTCAGTTCAACCAACACTCAGCCAAGCTGTGTTCCCAGTGTGTTGGGCTTCTGTAGGCCTTAACCTCAAACTCTTAAACTACACTGGGGTCAAGTTCACACACTTGGAAAACAGCCAGAATGGACTGAATGCCGTCATAGCAGGGAGGACAGAGTGTGTGGGGCCTGAAGAAGATGTGGTGGAACGGCTCCCTGGAGGCTGGCTGCCTTCTGTCACGCAGAGTTCAAGCAGAGGCTTTCATGTCCCTGATGTGGGGACACCGTAGAACATTGGAGCAGTGAGCTGGGATTTGGGTTCTGAGTGACATCTGGCCTGGTTGGTTGTGAGGGGTTGTGTCACGGCCTTGGGAAGCTCTTGAAAGAAATAGTTCCTCGTGTGTGTGTGTGTGTGTGTGTGTGTGTGTGTGTGTGTGTAGAAGTGGCAGGAGGTCCCGAGGTGGACTCCTGTGTTGTGTTGCACTGTTGCATTCCTCAGGTTGCCCCTGAGCAGGCCTTGGGAGGAAGCACAGAGGCTGTGGGGAGGGTGGGGAGGTGAAGGGGTGGAGACGAGAGCGTGGGAGCTGCCGTGGGGTCAGTGCCGCTCTGCTGCAGCCTTCCCCGTGAGTGTCAAGTTCAAATGCTAGAATGAACGAAATTTAAGAGAAATTTGCTTCCTCACAGGATGCCTTTGATGATGTGGTGAAGTATTTTGGAGAAAATCCCAAGACGACCCCACCCTCCGTCTTCTTTCCTGTCTTTGTCCGGTTTGTGAAAGCCTATAAGGTAAGCAGGAGCAAGGCGCCCGTTAAAACCTTCCTTGGAGCTGTTTCTCAAGTGGGTGCCCTCCGGAGCCATGCCTGAGTGTCAGCCTCTCTGCAGAGGCCCCGCCTGTTCCTGTGGGCAGCAGAGCTGGGGTGTCAGTGGGACAGCAGCGCCTGGCTCTGTGATGACTGGGCGCTCCCGGGGCCCTCAGCCCATGGGGCTCCACTCAGAGTCCTGAGGCTCCACCTGGAAACAAAGCTCTTGGCGGCCCGTTGGGGTGAGTGAGATGCTTCAAGACCACTGCTGCCCCACTGACCATTCACCATGGCACAGGGGGAGGACTCGGGCAGTGCAGGCCGCCTCTGCAGTTGTTGGGCTGTAGCAGGAGGTGTGGTAGCTGAGGTTGGGGAGATCCTGCACGGTCAGCCCTGCCCAGGCCTCGGGCTCTCCAGTGCAGACAGAAAGGGCTGGGAAGCTTGCTGCTCTGTTTCTTCATCTAGATCTGTAACGGCCCTTCCTTTTACTGGGAGGCCCTCTCTGACATAATCCAGGGCAGTGGTCTTGAAAAAGCATGGGATCTAAAGAGGTGTGTGTCAGAAGAACTTGTACCTTGAGAAAGAATGACAAGGAGGGTTACGGGATTGTAGCACACTTTAGGAGGCATCGCCATCTCTACTTTCCTGGCTTGGCCACCTGTAACCGTGGTAATGTTGGTGGAGGAGGGAGGATGTGCTAATAGAGGGGAGATGGCAGGGTCACACACACTTTGAGAATCATCCTGTTGTATATAATGGAGGGCTTTGAACCACCCTTGAGCCTTTCACTAAAACTCGCAAAGTGACGACATTGAGCCATCTTCTCTTAGCGTGGCTTAGCTCAGCAGGGCTATCCCAAGCTGCTGGCAGAAAGAGGGTGTCCTTGGCAGGAAGGATGAGCAGAAGTCCATGCACAAGACACTGCGCTGTGAGCGGTGACATTGCTGGTCACCCACTGCTGCTGACAGGTGCTCTAGCCGGTAAGGCTTGCGTGCTGCACAGATGGCGCAAGGCGGCTCTTGTTCTGTGCTGGGACTTCATTTCTCCACGTAAAATACTTACAAGTCTAAGGTCTAAGAAGAAAATACATGCTGTTTTAAAATCATACAATATAAGCTGGGAAGGGGCTCTGATTGGCCTGAAAACCTGATGCTTAAAGAGGAAAAAGAGGAGCTGCCTTGATGATCTGTGGGGTGTCACAGGTCCGAGCCTGTGAGCGGGCCCCCTCCCCGCAGTCCCGTAGCTGCATCCAGGAGGTGCTTGTCAGGCAGCGATGTTAGGGGGTGTTTCCCTTGCTCTCAGTATTACATAATGAATGACCTCCCAGCTGAACACCAACCTGTGGATCTCGTGGGCAGGTGCTGGGGGTTTAGGATGTCATCTCCTCCCTTCCTTCCCCAAGTTTGATCCAAAATGAAACTTAAGACGAAAAGAACAGAGATCCAAATGTACACTTCATTACTGGTGAAAGCTGGATTGGGGGTACTGTGTGTATCTGTGTGCTTACACTTCAGCCCTGAATTAGGGATGACTTATCAGTTCACAGCTAGACTCCTGGAAGTCTGTTCGGGGAGGCTGGCTTCAGGAATGCCCAAGGCTGAGTGGAGGGGAGCCTGTTTCATTTCTTGTCCCCAATTCATCCGGCTGGTCACACTCTGTCTCTGTTAGGAAGGCGTGAGCTATGGGAGAGAGCCCAGAGGTGCCACTTCGGTGAGGCCCCTGAAGGAAGAAAGGGAAGGGAATGGAGGTCTTCTCCTACCCTTGGGCAACCGGAGAGGAATCTGAGAATTCTACTTTTAGAGAAGCCATTGGTAGGACAGAATCTGGAAGCAAAACAAACTCATAAAAATCACTGAGCAGGGCTGCCGAAAGGGTCAGGTCCCCCCCACACTGTGAAGCAGGGAGGATGACTAGGAAACGACTTGGGGATGAGGTTAATTTCAGCTACTAGATTATGAGGAGGTGTGACACCGACAGACAGTGAAACCCTTAATCAGAGTTCTATATAGGCAAAAGGTGTAGATCTGCGGAAGCCTCCATTACTCTAATTCCTGGCTTCCCAAGGATTCTCCAAGAATGACTGAAAACCCTTGACTGCTGCCTTTTCCACTGATGTAATCTTGATTCTTTTGACTCTGCCCAGCAAGCAGAGGAGGAAAATGAGCTGAGGAAGAAGCAGGAGCAGGCACTCATGGAAAGACTCCTGGAGCAGGAGGCTCTGCTGGAGCAGCAGGACCCCAAGGTGAGCCGCGGCCCGCGCCCGCGGGGGACAGGCCCTGACGGCCCCTCACAGGCAAGCAGGGACCAGGGTCAGAGCCAGATGTGCACGGGATCCTTACCACTTCCTCCTGGGGCTTGGGAAGTTGGCAGATGGACGTTTGTTCTTTCGTTACTTTGTCCAGTGACCACTGGAATGAGGCTAAGAGCCTGTTTGTGTAGCATTGCCAAGTTTATAGATCTAACTTAGACTCAGTTGGCTACAGGGCGCCCCCCACCACCCTGCCCCAGGCAACCTGACTGCTTAGTGTCCAGGTGAGGCTTCCCGGGGTTGCCACCAGGGCTCGCCTTGAGGGCGGGGAGGCTTTCCTAGGAGGCTTGGACGGGAGCATTCCCCGGAAGGAAAGGCCATAGGGAAAGGCCATAAGGACTGGCAAGTATGGAAGTTTTCTTGATCCTTGCACCGAAGTTTAAGAAAGTTGATGGTTATTCCCAGCTGCCTCCTGTTGCCACAGGATCCAGCCTTCCCATTGCTGCTAGCTGGAGCTTTTGTGTGTTTTCCAGTGACTTTTTCTTTCCAGAGGGTTTCTGAGTGGCTTTCTGTTGGAGCAGCAGCATGTAGGGGTGGTGCTGTGTTCCCGGCCGAGGCTCTTACTAGTAGAGTAATGCTCAGCCACATTTTGGACTTTCTCAGACCTCGAATGGGTAATGGTCCCCAAATCTTTGCCATTCTTCTTTCTTCTTAGTCTCCTTCCCACAAATCAAAGAGGCAGCAGCAAGAATTAATTGCGGAATTACGAAGGCGACAAGTTAAAGATAACAGACATGTATATGAAGGAAAAGATGGTGCCATTGAAGATATTATCACAGGTAAACGCTGCTTCCTGCCCTTGGCCCCTGGAGGTCACACCGGCCTTTCCCAGCCTGGGCCAGTGGCAGATTTAATGCTGCCTTTGCCCGGAGTTTGAAGTTCTTCAGTTGACTTTACTCTGATCCAGCGGTATGCAGACAGACTCCATGCTAGTGTTTGAAGTGTATTTATAGTAGCCAGGATACTGCCTATCAGAAACCCCCAGCACACTCTGAGAAATTTATTTTTCAGTATCACTGGGACCCTGTGCGTTTGTTCCCCCAGGGTTCTTTGTAGTGGTTTTCCATTGTCTTCCATTTGTCACCACACTCCATTTTGTTCCTCATGGCTACTCCTGCCCACCTGCCTGATTAATAAATACTACGGACAAGGCCAGCTGAAGGGTCTGTACTAACCACAGTAGGTTTTTCCAACATCCTCTTTAAAATCCTTTTTTTCTACTCATTCAAAGTAACTAAAGACAATAGGAAATCCGGAGCGGGTACATTCATTCAGATGGGCCAATAGGCTTCTAGCCCAGGGTTGTCAGTCAGGAATGGTGCCTAACTCTGGCGTGGCTCTTGTCTGATTAAGTTGTAGCCTAAAACTTCCTGCTCAAACCAATTCTCTAGGATATCTGCATTCTTTCTTACAGACTGGGACAGTAATTTGGGGCCACTGTCTTTGGGCTGCACAGAACTTTTCCTCCATGTCTGTTGCATGTGAATACTATTTGTCAGTTCCAAATATATTTAAAATTTTTTATTATGAGAAGTCTAAGAAATATGCAAAAGTAAACAGTCTGATGCATTCCCCTACCCATCACACATCAACACTTTTCAACTCACGGCCGGTCTTGTTACATGCCTTCTTCTACCTGCTCCCCGTTCCCCACTGTCTGGGATTGTTCTGAAGCAAATCTAAGATACACAATTTCATCAGGGAATATTTCAGTATGTATCTTTAAACAAGAAGGACTCTTTAATAAAGCAAACAGGCATACCCACAGTACCATTATCACATACCTCCAAAACTAGCATTTCCTTAATATATAATATCCAGTCATTAGTCACCTTTCCCCAGTTGTCCTGCTTTTTAAAAAATATAACCTTTAGACTTTTTACTTCTCATTTCTTGTTAATAGCATAGTGAATAGGAATCCCAAACTGCCAAAACCACAAGTGTTTTCATCAGCTCAGACCCAAGGACATGAGTAAACAAATCGTTAAAAAGGAAGTCAGTAAGGAGTTCCTTTCCCAGAGTGAAGTCCTTAGCCGACAGATGAAAATGCCGGCCTGTCCCTGTGTACGGTACACGTGGTCTGCGTGCAGCTCCTGCTGGTCGCTCAGTGTTCACCCTGCAGTGGCTTGCGGACGGCTTCCAGATGCAGCCCCATTGCTTTCCGTCTCTCCTTGCCTCCCCCACGCTGAGAGAGAAGCTTTGCTCTGAGCAGAACCAGGAGGAGCTCGCCTTGGGTAAGCACCTCTTAGCCTCGGTGCCACAGTATGATGAACTTACCCGTAGAGAAGCTTCCAGCCTTGTGCATTAAGGACTTAAGAGTTTCATTTTCGCCAGTGTGTTCTCCATCGCAGTGGCACCTAGCTTGTAAAATGAGCCGAACGCACAGTTTCCGTTTGCCCGAGGTAATCATTAACCTACCTTCGGAAGGGAATGAATATCTGACTGTGGAGCGATTCTATGCTCCTTGAATATTTTCCATTTTCCACCCCGCAAGCCCCAGACTGAGTAACTCTGTTAGACTTTGTGAGTTCATTCAGGTACATGCTGCCTCCCCCTTTCCTGCTCACTCCCCACCGCCTTCCCCAGGCATGGATAACAGAGCACTAACTGTGTACTAACACGAACGGATCTTGGCTGTCCACTCTCTCCTGTTTGTCTCACTGGGCTGTCGATTTCCATGCAGTGCTGAAGACGGTGCCCTTTACTGCTCGTACTGCCAAGCGGGGCTCTCGGTTTTTCTGCGAACCTGTTCTCACTGAGGAATACCATTACTAAACTATTACTCTTTCTCACCTGATGCTCTTAAAAGGTTGCTACAGATTTTTTTACCTCTCCCGTCCCTCTGTGTGTCTGTTGCGGCCACCCAATGTGCTCGCATGGAATTGTCATCTCCACCACATTGTATTTCATGTTGTCTTCATGCTGCATGGTTTTGCATTTCAATCATTACTGCTTAGAGCCACTTTCAGTATGTCTAGGAATGAACCACATGGCTGGTCTGGTCTAGGTGTGTGAGTTGAATTAATGGAATTGCTTGCAGAAATTTTCAGAAAAATAGTAATAGAGCACTACTGTGAGAATCAGCATTGGGAGCCAACTAGTTTGCTTATAAGATTTTGAGGCTAGTATCTCTGAACACAAATGGTAGTCATTAATAACAATATTTACTATACCTAACATTTATTGAGAACTTACTAAGTTCTCATAGGCTTACAGATATTAAGCCAGCCTTTTTTTGTACCATTAACATGCTTTGACAGTAAAATGAGCTGCTACACAAACGTTTAGGAATGCAGAGTGCTCTGAAGTTGCAAGCGATTTGCAGAACTGTGAACTATGCGCAGCTGTAAACTGGACCTTTCTTAACTGTCTTACATGGGTCCCTAGCTGCCACCCACAGTGTGATGGAACTCATGGTATGAACTTAACACAGGGGGCGCTTGTGACCTAGAAGCTTGTATATGCTGATAGAGGCAATCCATAGCTTTATATCCACCTCTTTTCCTTCAAGTGGCATGCCCAAGTTCAGCTTTTAGCAGTTCTACGCTGGAACAAGGCTGCAAGGCAGGAAATGACAGCAAAGGCTTAGGAGCTCCCCACCATCTTACCTCATTCACGCTTCTTCACTGGTGGCACTGTTCCATGTCAAACCCAGGGTATTCCTTCTGTGATGAGATCGTCTCCGGACCTGCTTCTTTGGTCAGGATGGTGGCACCAGAAGTACAACAAATACCCATTATCAGAAAGTGCCACTGTTTTTAGATTTAAAATAAACAAACAAACAAACAAACAAACAAATAAGTAAGTAAGTAATTTCCAAGAAGTAACTGCCCGGGCTTAGTTCCTGATGGCTAAAAAAGGAATGAACTTCTCTGCAGTGCCCAGTTGATTAGGAAAGAGACAAGAAGGCACATGCTCTAATTGGAAATAGCCATTGTTTGGTGCCCGTGCTGATTGACATGGAACTGGGTGTTTATTTTGTGATATTAAGTCTTCTGTGACCTGTACTCGTTATGTATGTTTCTGTCTCTAAAGATATCTAAGGACGTGGAGAGTTGTTGCCTGCTCTGTTAACTACCAGTGCTTATTAACAAGGCTAGGAACTGTCATTTCCTTGGCTGATGTTTCTGTCCGTCGCTGCTGGACTGTCTATTGTTCTGGAGCCAAACTTCAAAGCAGCTTGGGTCTGGGTGGTCAGAGTGCTGGGACGGGAGACACTGCCATCCTGTTTTGTCCAACACCTCTTGTAGTTGTGGCCTCATACCCTCTTTCTCTGTTGGCTAACATGCCCGGGAATGTTAAGCACTAAGTTGACTTGCTTTCCATTTTCATCCCATTTTTACTTAACCATCATTTTGTGTTTTTGTTTTTTTTCTGTTTAGCCTTAAAGAAGAATAATATCACTAAATTTCCAAATGTTCACTCGAGGGTAAGGATTTCTTCTAGCACACCGGCGGTGGAGGATGCACGGAGCTGGCAAGCACCACTTTTTACTTAGCTTCCTCCTCTCTGTATGCAGATCAGTGGTTTCAGCTTATGGTTGAGGGTAATACTGGTGAGAGTCTGATTGGGGAGAAGTCTTTGTACCTCATATTCCAAAGATGGGAGGCTGAGCCACTCTGTTGGACTCTCTGGCCTGCTTCCACATCCCCCAGTGTGATGGCTTGGGCAAGGGCATTTCCAGGTTGGACTTGCTTCGGGCGCTAGGCTCTCCTTCCTTACGCCTGTGGTCTTTGAGCTATTCATTTAACCCTATTTGATCTGGAGATCAAGTCCTGGGTGGGGAATGTGATGTCTAGCGTTTTAAGGATTAGGATCTAACCAGTTGCCCAGAGGACTCAAGAACCACAGAACTGTAGCTCACTGCATGTTGGGAGCCAAGAGTGAAATTCTAACTTTCCCCCACCACTCTGGGCCGGGAGCAGGGGCTCCAGTGGGTTAGCACATGCAGAACTATTCTTTGCTTGAACTTAAAAAGTCGGGCAGGGCCACAAAGTCCATTGATTAAGGAGCTTGTGGGGACTGTGCTGAATCTGAGCACATAGGTCTTGGAACTCACTGAGCTCCAGCTTTTTTTTTTGCCATGTTAAGAATTTGGGCCCAGTATTGCCAGATTCTCCAGTTTTCCGAGAGAAGCCAGAAAACCCTGGCTTTTGTGTTAAGTGCCAATTTCAGTATCAGGAAACTATTTAAAAATGTTAAGTTGGGAGCTCAACATTCTGTGGGCCAGGTATCAGCTCCATTTCTAATCTGAGGAAATGAGGATATAAAAGATAGAATGTTTCCCAAGTGAAGTCAGTGATACTAAGTTAATGAGAGGGAAATACCTACCAAGCAAAAGAAGGGGAACAGTTCAAAGCCTGCTTTTTTTTTTTCATTATCACTAAGTCCATCAAAAGGAGGCTACCTGTCTTACTCATCAAGAAAGGATGCTTTCGTACTGTGTACTTACATAAAATTCCTGTTTATCCCACTTTACCCCACTAGAACAATGCCTGCTTGAACTGACAGGCAGTGGTTGATTCATTCATTCCACAAGGTAGTTTTAAAAAATGTTAGGCATTCTGCTGTGCATTTGCAGTACAAACTGGAGAATACAGGAGGGCTAGTATAACTTCTCTACTCTGATAAAAAACAACAGAAAAAACTGGGTGACAGGAAAGAATGTTCTGGAATGCAGTACAATTTTTTAAGTGATTAAGTCGGCATTATATTTCTAATTCACAAAATTAAAGAATTGATCTCAGGTAATATTAATGGAATAAAAATGGAACCTGTGTCTGCAAACTATAGGTTCCTTCCTTAATGATTAAAACTTCATATGAGATAGGACAGGGCAGTCAGTTTTATTAGTTTTGCAGTTTAAAATTCATTGCCATTATTGTTATTAAGGTTTCCAGAAATAAAAACAAGTACAAGCCACAGCTATTTCTAATTGAAGAAATATTTCAAAATAAGACCTTGTCTAGATTCTCTGGCCAGTGACAGAAGCAATCTTCTCTCATGTATTTTTCTAAAAGTTCCAGAATCCCACCAGTATTACATCTTGTTTTGTTTGACTATAAATACGATGGGCAAAGTACATGTCTTTGGCTCAGATACTCAGTGAGTTTGAAGGGCCTGTTAGCTGACTTTTCTACACAAGCTGCTTTGATTGGCTGCCAGCTGGCCTTTGTCTTGCTTAGACACATGGTATTAAAGGTGGCAATTCTTTCACTGGTGCTCTCCTCTTTACAGATCTTAGAAACCAACCATACAGACGAGCCGATGCGGTGAGGAGAAGTGTCAGGCGGCGCTTTGATGATCAGAACTTGCGTTCTGTTAATGGTGCCGAAATAACCATGTGAACCTGAGATCTGCCTGTATGAATAGAGGGTGTTTGTGAATTAAACTATTCACATGAACTTTATGTGCTACCATTTAACTGCAGCCTTGAACATAGATAAAATATTTTAAGGGCTCAGATTTAGCAAACACACAGGAATTTAGGAGTGATGGGCTCTCTTTTCAACCTTTGTTATTAACAAGTGCCTCAAAGTGGAAATACCTGCTCAGATTAATCAAAGCAATAGGATTTGATTTGATGATTAGGTATCTTTTTACACCAGATGGTATTCAATTTAACCAAAATGTAAATTTCACATTACATTTATTCCCTGCCATTTTAATTGTCCCATGATGGCCCACCCTGGTTTCCTGATTAGTTGTAAATAACATGGATGAATCTGCTGTGGGCTTCTTTTGCTGAGATGTTTTTTAAGGAATTAATTTGTTTCAGCCGTACTCACCCACTTTGTATTCTTAAGGGCTTGTAACATGGAAGACAGGAAAGTTGTATGATAAACTGGTGTCCCATAACCAAGCCCCAGCGAAGTATAAACAGAATGCAATTGCAGTGGCGCAGAAGTCACTCATTTCACATTCTATTACTTCTGTGCCAGGCAGGGTATGATGCCCTCTGTGAGACTTCACCAGGATGAATGCAAGGATATGGTGGCCTACAAATGTGTGACTCACTCTCAGTACTGTGTTCTTCAGCTAGAGGCAGCTTTTAAAAATGCAAATGCATATATTAATTAGCACTAAAATTAGCATCTGAGTAATCAGAATCACGATTTCTGAGCACCATTATGGGGACGTGAAAACAGAAATTGGTGCCTTGCTAGCCAGGGGGAGAAGTTCACTAGCTCTACCTACCAACAAGCATTCAAGATTTCTTCTGCTGTGTCAGTAACCTAGCCTTACTTTCTGACAATTGCAGGGTTATCTTCCTCCTCCCTTTTGTAAATTCAAGATATATTTGGCATCATATATCAAAGCTAAGTTGTTGTATTTCTCACATTATTTGGGAATTTCAGTTAAATTGCAGAAATACATTGGGAGAAACCTAGATATGTAATGGGACTAAATGGCCAACTAAGCCACTGTTACTTTTCCTTCCTCTCTGGCAGGGCACTTGACCCATTCCAAAGTCAAAAACTGGACTAAAGCTAATTGTACTTTTCATAATACACATTCTTCTTCTGGCTTACCTTCCTGGTACATTACATCAATATATTAATTGTAAAGTTTATTGTATAGTATTTAACCAATGAATTTATTTTTTGTTGTGCTTATGTGAACTCCTTGGTGAAGGTCCCATTTTCCTTGGATAATGTGTAGTTATATGATCTTTTTAAATGTACAGATATTTTGCTATAAAATTGGTGTTTTTTATGGTTTTTACACTTCTTTAATTCCCACCTAAGCCTCTGGGTAATACTGTAAATATTGTTTAAAAATGCATCAGCCTATGCTATACAATCTGAATCTTATTTTAACTTATAGTTCTTTTTAATATATTTAACTACAATGACAGTTTAGGGGATCAGTTACATTTCACTTTAGCATACCTATTTACAGAAAGATTACTTTCAAACTGCCACCTGCTAGCACATTTTCATAAATGTGTACTTTAAAAAGAACATGCCAAGATTGTCGTTATTGACTCAACATTCATTTTTCTGAAAAGAGCAACTTGATCATGAAGTACAATACAAAGTCCTTTTTGCGGTCCTTTATTATAAGCAGCCGTTGCCCAAAGCTCAATGCTGATCACATTAAGATGCCAATTTATTCATCTACCAACAAGACAGTAATGTTGGCATGTTCTCTTCTGTTTGTCTATTTAATGGGCCTGCTTCTTAGCAATATTAGAAATGTTTTATAAAAAAAGCAGTTCATGTTACTTTTCTGATCTTTTCATGACATATGAGCAAATAAACTATTTACACTACTATCCTGTAATATGTTGTAGTTTTTCAATGGTATATTTTAAAGGGTTTTACTTTATGTACACTTGTATCTTCTAGAAGTTATATCATGCTGCTTGAATACAGATCTGGTAAATTTTAAGAAAAATCCCTCCCTGTACAAACTCTCTGTCACTTGCTATATGGAATATAGGAACCAAACAGACTTTGGTAGTTGGGGACACATCTCTAAAATCTTGCTTATGAATTTACTGCTTCCAGAGAATAGCACTCACTTGGTGAGATAACGTCTTTGACCGATTTAATGAGAATGCTGTTCAAATACCTGCAGGTACCCCTGGATGTGCCAACTAAGTTGGCTAGCAAGGTACATGCAACCAGTTTAGCCTCAACTGCACATACTGATTGTTAGGATTACAAGTCATCAGAAAAGTTTCTGTGCAACGTTTACTATCATCTTTTTAAGGGGAGTAAGGAAATTTGAATTCCAGAAAACTGTCCAAGTGGTTTTGTCAGGTAGCTAGGCAACCATGAGTGAGTCCCGCTCTGTCCTGGACAAGGTCCTCCCCATCTCCACCTATTCTCTTGTCACCAGATAGCAGAATATGCCTGAAATCCATTCTGTTCATGGTTCAGTTTCCTGTCTTATCAGGCCAAACAAGATGTAAAAAGCCCAAATGGTCTTCAAGACCAACAGGTTGGCTGCAGGCACACACAGACCCAGAAGGTGGCCCAGTCACCTTGGCGTTCCTTACAATAAATTGACATTGCAGTTTTGCCTAGGTACTTATGGGGGCCTGTGCCCTAGAAAGGTTATATAACCTGAAACTGTCAATCAGCAAGTCAATTAAATGATGTAAGATATGAGGAGGGGCTTTGTACCATTGAAAAAAATTCTAACCATATTTTTATTGCAACTGTTTCTGGTTTCCAGCCAGTTTGCACTTCTCCCTTCTTGAGAGTGTACTTTCCCTTTGCTTGATAAACTGCTGCTTAAGACTTAATGTTTGTCTCTTGCATTATTTCCTTTGAGAACAGGGCTGAGAAAACAACGCACTGCCCCAGTCAACAGGTTAGAAAACAACAACTACTTGGAGGACTGTAGTCTTTTCAGTATTACTTGTATGGGTTGTCTGTTCCCAGGTCTCTACTCTTTCCACTGTATGCAAGTTTTGCGATATAGCTGAACTTTTATAAAGAAGGGAGAAAAGTTAAATTCTGCAGGAAGAACCTCTAGTTTGTTTTGTACCAGGACAAATGCCTCATGATAAAGGAAGATCTTTAATATTCCACAGATTGAATTTTCAAGCCCAAACTACAGCAGTAAGTTTTAAGTGAGGCTTTACTTTTAAGTTAGGTTTAGGGTATTATATACCAGTGGATTAATTTTTAAAGATTTTTACCAGTGACTCAATTAAATACCCGTGTTCCCTACTCCCAATCCTCTCAAAATCTAAATCCTAATCCACCACAGCTAAGAATGCCCAGGGACCCTTCTGACTCTATTAATGCTGTCTGCACAGAATAGGACTTGATATCCATCATTGACTGCTGGCACAATGTGCTAGACAGTGATACATACTTCTGTTAGCTTTACAATTCACATGCCTAATAATTTTTGCTAAAACTCTTCTTAGCCCTAATATGTTGCCTAATTTTTATCAGACATACATGCAAAGATGAAAATATTATCATCCCAGTTCACACAAAAGGATTAATCTGTTTTCCATTTCTTTTAAAACTAATACCCATTTCCAGGAAAAAATCTGAGGTAAGAAAATGCATGAAGAAGTGTTGACACACTTTTCTAACTCTTTATAATAAAAAGTATTACATGGAGAAAACAGTGTGGGTATTTAGCATCTCACAGCACAGAGCTGCTGCATGAGAGGTGCTTAAAGGAAAAAGTTGACACAAATCCAACTTAGTAAAAGATGTCATTTTTTCTAATAAATTTATTTACAAAAGGTCTGATTTTTATATAAGTGTGAGGTTCTTTACATCAGAACAATAAACAGAAGAGAAAATCTGGTAGTTACAAACAGAAAACAGAAACCTGTTCCTCTTATGACTCACCTTTTAAAACAAGTCTTCTATTTAGTTGTAGAGGTAGCCAAGAAACCATCTACCAAAATGTTTGCCCACAGGACCAAAAAAGGTGCTTATAAATAGTACATTAGATACCCTAAGGAACACCATAAAAGAAGGGCATCAAGAAATGGCTTAGTTGATATCTGATTAGGCAGCCACTCAGTTTCAGTCTGATTGAAAACTGGGGTGGGGGTGGTGGGTTACACAATTCTTCTGAAATGCAAAACTTTGACCTCACCTAGGGCAATTACCATCAAACAATTACCAATCACTAACGAGATGGACTTGAATTAGATCCTATTTAGTCACAAAAGCGGTTTCAATATACGTTTAAAAAGCAAAGAAAATACCTGCTGCAAATGAAGAAACTGAGCCAGATAAACAATATAAATAAAATGGAGGGCTGGGGGAGGATCTGAGTAATTGGAGAAAAATCTTCTCACTTCTCATTCTCACCTTTATTCACCCCTTTGTCAAAGACAGCCTGAAATTAGTTCTCAGAATTTAAATGAGAATTTTACTGTTGTGTCCATTAAAGCCTTTAAAGACGAACTTTGATATGTTTGAAATGACCACAAAGGATTTCCTTTCTTACTCAAAAACCAGATGGAAGTTGTATGTTCTAACAGTCACTAGGGCTTATCTTCAGTACATTTCAATTATGTATGTGGCTTTAGTAGTGGGTTAGTACGATTCACTGGAACGATGCTTTTTCAAGCCCTTTGATACAGATGATGGGTACTGTGGGTGCTGGATGATTACATCTGTCAACTAATATTTTACATTCTTTCAATAAATGCCTACTATGTGCCAGGCACTGTTCTAATCCACAGTAACCAACAGTAAATGAAACATCCCTGTCGCCAAAGAACCTGCCATTTAAGTCAGAACCTAAGAGCAAGGGAAGAGTACGGAAGGTATTAGCCTGGCATATATGCCATCACCAGAACCAGAGAACGAGACGGTAAGCTTATTAAGCAGCTTAACACAGCCATGAAAATTACTCAGGACATAATTTTGCTTTTCCTTGTAAAATGAGTGCAATTTTATCTAGAAACGTAAAAGAGTTTTCTACGTAGTATTGAAAGGGATACATCCCCAAGGGAAAACAAAGAATTTAAAATATTTAAGATATAATGAATTCATGTGCTTTGCTTCATTTTGCTTTTAGAAACGTTTATTTCTTTAGTTTTGTAACTCACATTTAAAAACAATAAACTTAAAATAAGGCATTCATCTTTCTTCCCTGGGCACTAGTTGACTGGAAACCATTCTTTTTAAGTAACACCTAAGACTTAAAAAAAAAAAAAAATCTTTATGTAAAGGGGCTACCCCCTAATGGATGCAAAAACAGAAGTGGCTGCCTAGTCAGTACAAAGCTAACGATTAACAGTGGAAGAATACCAGAATCATTTAGACAAAAGCTTAACACAGGACACAGGCCCTTTGGTAATTGAATGAAAACTATGACCTTCTTTCCAGAAAAAGATGCAGATGTTTCAGGACTCTGTACAGTTTCTTCATGTCTCTACCACTATTAATTCAGACTGCTTTACTCTAGGTCTTTTCATTTTATAGTTACATCATAAATGAGGCCGTTATTAGCAAAAGTTGAAAGATATGGCTGTCATACTTTGCTCATTTTCAAATTTACTGGGAGGCATAAAAAGTTTTTTGTTGAGAAACATGAATAATCTATATGCTGAAGCTACTTTGGGTAATGATAACGAAAGGCCATCACAATGCTAAAAGTAATGTGGGACTACAGCTTTTACTTAAAAGCACTGTTACTTAATTTACTTGGGAAAGTGCAAAGAATTCCTCATACTTGACTAACTTTTCATAAAAATTGTTTTCCCACATAGGAATTACGGGCTGGGAGAAAATAAATATCTGAGGTTCTGAGTCTATTATGATATTAAATGTATCAGTAAATTTAATCCAGTAACCATTAATATTAATGATAAGGAAGGAAGATAAATCCTCCATGTTTACCTAAGAGTCTGAGGCTGAACTGAGAAATACAAATCTGCCTCATCTGAAAATAAACACTTCCCTGTTTTAACACACACTGGTTTAAAATCTGTTCAAACTCCTATTCAACTCTAACAGAACCAATATTCCAACCACCATTATTTAACAACTGAAGATTTCAGAAACTTAATCTAAGAAGGTTAAGAATACTCACACAAAATTCTTGCTTAACAAAATCTTCCCATCACCTCTGCCTTCAGATTATACAGCATTATTTCTGGCAACTAAATTGCACCAATGGGATCATCAAAGTGGACAAGGATTATAGTCACTTCAATTACATCTTTTATAACAAGGATGTTGTTATATTTTGAGTTGCAGTCTATTCTCTAGTTTTGTTTTTAGGTCAAGTGGTTTTCATGGGTGAACTTTAGGGAAACTTGATTATATAGTGTCTTGCAGGGATCTGAGGTTGTGATAATATCTATAAAAAATACAGAAATCTATTTTGAGGACATGCTAAAACATCAATAGCTTTTTATTTAAATAGAAAAATCAAAACTTTAAAGTTGTACTTAAAATCATCATTCATGGAAGTAGTTCAAAGCTTTACAGATTTCTAAGTTCTCATGAGAAACACTAGTTTTCTGCCAATATTATATGCACATTTTAAAGATTTTACCACTGACTTCCATGTCAAGTGTCTGACATGATTAGCAATATTAATCATTGCAATGGGACCTCTGAAAATTATGTCTAGGCAACTCCCTGTTGCCAAAGTTGTGTGTTGGTTCTAATAGACAAGAGACTAACCTCAAGCAAGCAACTTGATTACTTCACATATTCTAAAGATAGATATTCTCACTTTCTTCAAAATCATGTCATTTCACAGCAGAAAAATGACTTCACAGATTAGAAACAATCCCCCACCACCCTGAGGCTTCAACAGTGGACACTAGATAGAACTGAAACAAGGGGCAGGGATGGGAAACAGTTGTCCTGGTCAGTCCCACTTTCAAATTTGTTAGGATGGTGGAGGAAAAATGAAATCAACTTTTTTTTCTTCTAAATCCCAGCTTTGAACAGGATTGCTCCAAGTCCAAAATAAAAAAATACTTAATACCAAAGACTATGTGCTAAAATTTATTTACTTAAAAAAATCTCCTGCACTGAAGGAAATAGTATAAATTACATTACCAACCTTCAAAAGGTAGCATGTGGAGTATTCTAGCTTCAAACCATTGCCTCTCTAAAGTATTCTGTAGGAAATTCACAGATTAAAAACAAACAGAGGGGCATCAAAATGCACTGATTTATAACAATGTTGAAAATAACCTAGCTACGTGGGTAAGATGAAACAAAATTTCAAGGATTTAGTTATCTTTTATCTTTGATCATACAACATTTTTTTGAGCTGAGCAGTAGAAATAAATACTAGTACACGCTAGAAGAGAAGGTTTAATCATTGATAAAAATGTACAAAAATATTCAAATCAGAAATGCTTTAGAATGTGTACCACGAAGTCAATACTTCTCAGTGAGTAGGGAAGGTAAAAGGCTTCCTCAATGAAAAAAAGCGATAGGATTAAAAAAAAAACTGTTATTAAAGAAAATGTTTATGTCAACATTTTTTGTTTTAGACAAGGATATTGCAACTATCACTTACAAGTTTGGTGGCACATTCTTTAGTAGGTCCTTAAGGCAATATATTTAAACTAATTTACAACTTGATTTGATGTTAGCCTTTTAAACATCACCTCAAAATAATGCCCTCGTAATAGCCTTTTTAAAATGTATTCAGATGTTTCATAAAAAATAATGGTGGCTTTATTATAGTAGTTAGTGCTCGTCAGCACTGCTATAGTTAAGGGTCTACCAGGTTTCCATTAAGAACACCTATTTCTGAATTCACCATAAAAGATCCTATCAGCTTTAGCCAGGTGGGTAGTGCACAAAAAAGCAGTTTCATCATTTGCTGGTGCTTTTTTTGTACTACTAGATATCAAAAAATTTTCCATTGTATCTTCAAAATCCAACATCTATAAAGTAAATCAAATCCGCTCATGACTTAGACTTTAGAACAAAGTAGAGACACCTGCAGTTATCAGTCAATTGCCACCTTTAATCCATCCTGCAGTGCCCTATGAAAGGGTCACAGACAGTTATGAGTGTATGAAAATATGATTCTTGATACAGAATCAAAAGTTATTTTCAATTTCCTTTGTTTTTATAAAGTCCACAATAACAATACTTAAATGCACTTTTTTTCCTGTGATATAATTAAAACCCAGTGTTATTTCAATTGAACTTTAAAATAGAGTCCCTGGTCTGAATTAGACTTTAAATCATACTGTAAACATATATTTGGTATAATTTATTGATCATCATCCAGTTGCTCCAGAAGGGTCCTTCTGCGCTTTTCCAATTCCCCTTCACTCAGTTCACTGCCAGAAGTATCCCAATTACCCTGAAAGACATTGAGTATAATTATATTGGTACCATTACTCAAAATGGAAAGTAGTAATGAACCTTTCAAAAAGGAATCCAAAATCTGTATGAATTCTCCTCTATAGGAACAAACACATCACAGGGTTGACAAACTTACCTCTTCCCCAAAGTCTATCAACAGGCTGCTAACTACTTAGAATGAGACTTTCACATGGTTAGTACTTTTGGTTTACAGTATGTAAATCCGCGAGAATGGTACAAACAGGTTTCTTTTCCTTCCTCTTATACAACTGAATATGAAACAGCTTGTTTCAACAGAAACATATACATTAGAAAACTCTTCTGGTGTGAGAGATAGTTAAATGTCTATTCTTTAAATATCATTGTTTTAATCACAGTAGCCACTTCGTATTTTGAAAATACAAAATGAAAGTATTTTTGTATTCAAGTATTTTAAATACGTACAGAATCCTTTCCAGTCTTTTTCTTAGGTGATTTGTGTTTTGATTCTGATCTTTGTCTGGTTCTGTCTTTTTCACTTTCCCGGTCTTTTTCTTTTTTGTCCTTCTCTCGCTCAGCATCTGACTCTGGAGAATCCTGTGTAAATAAAAAATGTTAGCATTTGATGAAGATACCATTCCATTTTTTAAAATCCCTATGCAGGTGATACTTAAGAGCATCCACGTTATCGTAAGATACGTATTCTAGAGTGATGGAATTTGAATTATTAACCTCGAGGATTGTGTAACATGTCCAAGGTTCACGGGAGGGAGGTTGGCCTTTCCTTTGGGAAGGATGACTGACACTCTGACAGCTTCACTATATCATGGAGAAAGGCACATTTAAGATTGGATAATATCTAGTATTACATTTTCCACCACCTAAATAAGGTATTTATTTATTTTGTAGGAACATAGGATGCTGCAATTAGTTTAAAATCACATTAAGTTGGTAGCTGTTTAACAAAGTTCCTTTCCTCAAAATTGCTACTGAGAAGCAGGAATGATTTAAAATGTAAGGCAGTGCCTAAGTAAGTAACCCTCCATTAGATAAGAAAAAATCCAATTGAGCAACAAGAAAAAAAATCTTAGTCAACAGATCTGTGGTGACACCCAGGCCCTTACATTTTGAAAAAGCTCCTTTGGTATATTTTGACATGTACCTAGGGTTAAGAACTAAGAGTCGAGGAAGGAGTTGTTCGAACATTTAAACCTGTATGTATGTATTACAGCTATTGTTGAGAACCCCAAGCACACACATTTGGGTCTTCTCTCTAAAATCATTTAACACTGGTATATTTTTGTTTTCAAAGCTTGCCAAATATTTTAATGGAAGATAACGGTGAAGGACAACTATAAAACTCGACTTTAGGTGTCTACTTGAACTGTGCTGAAGTGCATAGGACTAGACAGAAAAAGGTTCTGCTGCTGCAGAGGAAGTTAAGGGCAAAAGTCTAGGTGTAGTATAAAAATTAGAAGTTTCTTTACAGATTTATGTCTCCTCTTCTTGCTTTTCTTCTTATGTTTTTTCGACTTCTTATAACTTCTCTCTAAGCAGCATGAAAAAAAAGTGTCAGAATTTGAGGACACCCAAGTGTCAGTAACTGTAATCAAGTCAAAAGATATGCTTACCAGACTCAGCACTAGAAGAATGCTCTGAGGCAGAACGAGACTCTGATCGCTGTCTCTTTTTCTTTGAATGGCTGTCATCATCATCTGAATCTGACCCCTAAATAATATAAATAATTTCATTTATTATGATTTTAACATGATTTCATTTCACCTAATGGTACCATATCAAATAATCCTCCTTACCGATCTAGAGCGAGAACGTTTCCTGTGATGTTTTTTAGATTTTTTAGAATGTTTCTTATTCTTTGAATGATGATGTTGACATTCATGCTACAGGGGCAAAAAAGAAAAACTTCGAAAGTTTATGTTTACATGGCTGATCAAGAAGAATTTTCAAAGTTTTAGAGTAAAGACTCCCATTTTTTTTTGTATTTAGGATGTACTCCATTGAAACGGTGCAAAGAATTCTCATCACTTACAATGTTGTCTTCAGTTCCTTCTTACCCATCCTATACCAAATGATTTAGACATCTTAACACAACAGTGTTAAAAACTGGTAGTAAAGAAAGTAGTTCTTTTTATAGGACTGAGAATGGTGTGAGTTAGGAGGGTCGGTTGATATACTCCAGAAAGTATAATCTGCAGAACAGTCACATTGCTTTCAAAAACAGTGAAATACAGTTACATTCAGACATGGCTTTTCTGATGAATCTGGCTTTGGTCAGCAAGGTAGGCTCAGTATCACCATAAAGAACTACTTCAGATAAATGAAGATGGTATCAGAATTCTCTCTACTCTTCCTCATGTTCACCCAAGGATCACTCCTGGCCTGGTCAAACTTAAAGACATTCAAAGTGAATCTAACTTTGACCCCACATGAAATCAGAAAAGGAAATGTTACTCTGTGAATTTTAACTCTTTCATTAAAACAATTCTCAAGCTAGCAGGAAAGGAATATGCTGTAGTAAAAGCTCTCTACTTCGGGAACATATCTATGGCACTGAAAATAAATTGTTTCAGTTAATAAGGAAATGGAAATGGAAAATCCAGCTTATAAGGCATTTTCTCTTTATGTCACAGAATGCTTATTATTCTTTTCTACCTCAGGCCCAGATTATTGGGGTTCAAAATTTATTGTGTGTCCTGCCCTTCCCTATATGCCACCATCTTTAACTCCATTTGTGACCTCACCACTTTACCCTCAGCACAGATTATGAAAGAATCTTGTTGGATATTCTTGAATTGGGGCACAATGTCAAGACACTACCTACAGTAGATCTTCTCATAATTATATCTTTATACTCTAGTACTTGAGAATCTTGTTACAATGATGATTCTGATGTAGGATTCCTGCTGATGGGGCCTGAGAGTCTACATTTCTAACAAGCTTCCAGGTAATGCAGATGTTGCTGGTCTCAAACACACTTTAAGGTAGAAATTATCTGGAAGCCAGGAGTACTAGATCTAGAGGCAGCTGGGAAAAAATGTAGGGTGGGTTCACCAATGTTATGAGCATTGGTATACAGCAAGAACAATTCAACAAAGAAGTTAATTAAGTGATCTTCTATGCCCAAAGACCATGCAATACCGTTAAATTTGTGCCTGCTTTCAGTTTGTTGTAATGAATTAGTCTGTCTAATTGGCAGCTCAGCATATCTGTTAAAAACATCAGACACTGTAGTGAAATCTCTTTCCTGAAAATTCCTCTATTTCTTTGTCTCAAGTTTCTCATGTGTAGCTTTACAGGCTTGTTGTGAGGATTAAGTTCATGTATATAGTATTTTCAAAACAATTAAATATTTTCAAAACAGTGGCTGGCTCCCATAGGAACCAACTATTATTCAGTTGTTATTGGTTAGTGTAGCATATTTACTATATACAAGTGCCCATTTAAATCTTCATCGAGAGAGCCTCATTCACTGACAGAGTACCTTACAACTTTATAATTACTTATTTAACAAATACATATTACTTATTCCATTATTTTTCAGTATACCCCTGAGCTTTCAACACATATAATGTAGTATAATATTTGAAACATGAGTTTCAAAGTTGTTTTCTATCTGCTTTATAAGATTCTAAGTTTTCTTTAGGTTTACTAGTCAGTCCATATGGCTGACAAACTGAATTTCTAAAATACTGTAAAAATGAGACAAATATGAAGTCTCCATGAACAAATCTTTACAGTCCCATGCAAGCTTAGTATGTTTACTTAAAAGCAGTTTCTATAGAAAAACCCATTCCCTAACCATTGCAGATAACTACATTTGTTACAAAAGCAATTTAAGAAACATACTTTGACTACTCTAAATTCAACTTTTGTTTATATTCTTATATATTTTATATTTTAACTATGAGAATATTAAAATTACCTCAAGCACATGCATAAAATCTTTAAATATTCGTTTTCTTTCAGACTCCAGAGTTATGTCCTCGAATGCTGGCTCTTTTACAAATCTCTCCCGAATCTAAAAAATTCAGATATGGAATAAATAGATGAATACCAAGAGAAATACACCAAATGAGTAAAAGGAATCTTAACAGCAAGAGAAAACTGTTAACAGCCTGGTTACCTCGAAGTCCATCATTTCATTTCCTGTTAAGTTTTTAACAAATATTCCTAAATAAAGAGCCATAGCTGACTTTAATATACACTGTAAATAACTTCAGCTGGTTTTTGTGGTTATAAAATGAAAAAGGAATTAAAAATTTCAGTCTTTAATTGCCAAAGGAAACAGATTAGAAAAATTTTATAGTTATACATACATCTTCCCAGACGGCATCCAATTCTATTGGAGGCGTGGCTTGTTTCAACATACTCTTAAATGCAGATTCTTTTCGTTTCATCTTCCGAGCCTCCTCTTTTTCTCTTTCACGTTCACGGGCTTCTGCCTTTTCTAATAACTTTCAGAACATCATATTTAATACAGTTACAATAATATAATTACAACTTCTATTAAATGAAATAATTCATTATAAGCTAAGGGTCCATTTAATACCACCAGGTAATTTAGACAGAAGAAACTTAGTAGCATCAGCATTTGCCTATTATCTATGTACATTCTTTTACCTTACCATGAAAAACTGTCTACTGCTCAATAAAATCCTACTCATGTCCCCTTATTTCAGTAGCCTACAACTTAAGACTTTTGGCTGAATGTATTAAAAACTGCATTATTAAACGAGTTTTGTGTAATAGTAATGATAACTTACACTATTGAAAGCCAATTTAATATTTCCGGCATCTAACGTGGTTGATCTTTTAGTTGAGCTGATTATTGCCACAAAGTCTTCAAAAGTGGTATTTACTTCAACTACAAATCCTTTATCCTGAAGAACAGAACTCTTATTAACACAAAATCAAAGGAACACAGCATCGATTTTAAATATATACTACACATTAATAGTTAACAATAAGTGTACTATTCACCTTTAGAATGTCTTTTATTATCTTCTTCTCATCATGATAACGTGCTTTAAGATCCTCAACATAAAACTTGAAAAGGTCAAGTGCGGTTGATCCTAATGAAAAAACTAAAGAAGTCAAAAGCTAGCTCTAACCAAAGAGCTGCAATTACTTTTTTTGTTTAAAAAAGAAAATAAAGCAACCCATCACCTCCCAACACAACCACCTTCCCATTCCCACCTGGCCCATTCCAACTACTATAACTCTAAGTTAGGAAAGAAAAGAATCTCACCCGGCTGACCAAGCATGTTAGTGAATCTAATGTCAGAACTAATTGTTGGATACAATTCCATCCAAGATGACATAGAATGCAGTTGTCCATGTTCATGCAGTTCATCTAAAAATATCTGGAGGAGAAAATACCACCACCACCACCACCAAAAAAAATCATTATACTGAAAAGACACCTTGAAGGATATTAGAAGTATCAGTGAAACATGAAAGAAAACACATGTTAAAAACATGGCAGTATTTAAAACTTTTCTACCAGTGTTATCCCAAATATATTTAGGTGTGAACAATACTTGGTCTTTGATCAAAATACAATCTGCTTTTAGGCAAAAAAGCATTTTGTACTTTAGAGAGAAGTACCTTTGAAAAGCTATATTATCTTTCCAGGCTTCAGTTTACTGTCTCTGAAGACGGAACATGATTTCCAGTTTTAAAAAACCACATAAAGGTAAACCATTAACTCAAACATAGGATATTTTCTATCTCAAATGATGAGGTTAAAGAGTATATACATGTTTCAAGAACATATAAAAACAAAATAACTTTTTGTTTTTAAACATAATGCCTAATTGTGTTCTGGAGTCTGTAACTTTTAATTTTTTTAACAAACATGGGCCTTTATTAACAGGAGATATAACTTTACAGAAGTGATGCATATAGTAACTAGGACTCAAAACCTATTTCCCTTCTTTCATATTACTATTATACCTTAAATCTAATTCATATGATTCTCTTTTTTATTCTTTCTAGTATCTTCTTTTCAGGCAAACAGTCCCAACTTTAGTACTCAGTAATTCCCACATTTCCTGCTTCCCCAAACCCTTAGGGAATTTAATCCTATAAACAATGTCCCTAAAGAACTGTGGCCCAAAATTCTTTTCCTAAAATTCCTATAACCTGAGCTGTTTAATATGGTAGCCACTGGTCAAATGTAGCTTCCATGGAATGTAGTTCATGTGAATTGAGATTTGCATTAGTATATAACAGTGATTTTCGAAGATTACCAATAATTAAAACAATATTTATTGCATGTTAAAATGATAATATTTTGGATATACTGGTTAAAATAAAAGATTATCAAAATTAATGTTAAAATCCCAGTATGTGGCATACAATATTTTATTTGCTAGCACTTCCGAGTAACACCAGGCACCTGTTAAATCCACTTCTCTTCAAAGAGTAAGCATGTACTGTCTTGTATTTCCAAAAATTCTTTTCTCAAACTTAGTATCTACCCTTCTGTCCCTACCCTTCAGCATAAATAGAATATTATCCCAACCCACCCCTGCGGTATGATCACCAGATTCCTTCACTTGCTCTCTCTTTTTAGTACCCAAAATAGTTTATCAATGATGCTTTCTAGGATCCTAGAATCTGCACCACTCTATCATATTTGCTTTGCTGGTTTTGTACCACTCCTGGTTGCTGAGATCTGATAAAGTCACAGAATTTTGAGACTGAATCCACTTCAACAGTGGATCTTTAACTTCAGTGAAAATCAGAATCACCAACAAATTGTATTTTTTAAAAAATATGGATTGAAATCCAGGTATCTGTAATTTTAGTTTTTGCAGAGCACCAAGACAATTCTTATGTTATAAAGTCAGGTTTGAAAACCATTATGATAAAATTTTATATTTTTACTCTTTTATTTATTAATTCCAGCCTCAGGAGGGGGCAGGAACCTAGTCTTTTAACACTCTAAAAAGCAAGCTGTTTCAAAGGTGGCCAAGGTTGGCATTTCTCCTTCCCTTAGAGGAGAGGTTCCTTCCTAACCTCAGCACTAATGACGTCCTGGACCACCGAACTTTTTGGGGCAGTAGGGGAGAAGGGTTGTACTGTACACTGTAGGATGCTTGGCAGCACCCCTGGCCTCCACCCCAAAATGCCAGTAGCACCTTCTCCCCAAATCATGATTGTCAACAGAATCACTGGTTGAACACGATTCACTGCCTGAGACCTAACTTGGTAGTAGTTTTTTCCTTATCTCATTCCTTCTTTTTGTCTTACATACTGCTCATAAAACAACTCTTCATGTATATGTTGAATTCTAAACCTCCAAAGATTTTGTTTAATGAGAGATACTCCTTTCAATTCTTTCTTCATTCTCTCCCTCTTAACTGGTTTTCTCTTATTATCTTAACCTTGATCTTTTACTTAACTTTACCTTATCATCAAACTATCTGAGGTCTAATTTTTCCTCTATTTATTTACCTTTAAACTATTTGGCTACCTTTTAGATTTCTCCACTATGCCAATAGTCACTAAATAACCTAAATGCTATACCCAGCAGTATTCTTTCAGTTTTATTGCATAAAGATCTTAACATTTGTGACTTTTGGTGGGTTCCTCTATCTCAGTGGTTTCTCAAAGGATCATCTGAAGGAAATGGTAAAACCCACAGATTACTGGGCCCCACCCACAGAACTGAGCTCAGTGAGTCTGCTGTGGGGTTTGAGAATTTGCATTTCTGTAACTTCCCAGGTAGTTATGCTGTGCCCCTGAGGATCAGGCTTTGAGGACCACCCCCTATCTTCAAACTCCATCTTGGCTTCTGGATTTACACATTCCCCTGGTTCTCCTTTAAAGATCTGATCACTTCTTTCCACTACTGATATGAACTCAAATACCAGTTTTGAGACTTAAAAAAATAAAACATAGATCTCCTTGTTGTAGATGTGACAAATATTTATTATTACCTGACGAGTAAATGAGTACTGGATAAAAAAGACAGCCATCATCATAACCACTATTATTAAGAATGTTTTTTTCCATCTATTATCTTCTATTCTAAATGTCAATCTTCTCTTAATTAATTTTATGGAAGTTCTAAAAACACCTCTTGACAGGTAATGTAGTAGCACAGGAAAATGACTTAGCTGAGTATTTGAGGCAAAGCAATATAACATGCTAAGACCAGTTACATCAATAATCAAAAACCATGCCAGATATATATACCAATCTAATACAAAATCATACTTTAGGCTTAGCTGTAAGGCCCAAGGGACCTTTAGGTTTCTCTTCCACATTGCCCAGTCCCAGTAATGACACTATACATTCCACTTTCTGTGACCCAGATATCCTTATTTTTATTATTTTATCATATTGGTCTCCTTATTTTAAATCACTGCAAAACCTTCATAAGAGATAATGAAGGTCAACGGCTGCATGAGAGCAATTAAATAACCTCCTAATATCTGTTCTCCCTTCTTCCTGGGCACATGGATGCCTAGTTAAAAATCTAGGTTTTCTAACCTTTTCAGTTAGTTGTGGCCATGTGACTAAATTCTCAGCAGCTGAACATGACTGAGGCTAGTAGAATATCTAAATCATTGGTTTAAGAAGTATTGCCCTTTCAATTTCTTTCAAGATGAAATGTGATCATAGGACAACACATTCCTTTATAATGCGACAAGGTTAATGGCCTAGGGCAACTCTTAAAGTATGAGCCAGCAGCATCCCTATCACTTGGAAACTTAACGGATATGCTAATTAAGAATCTACCCCAAAACTAGTACATCAGATTCTGGGGGTTAGGTTCAACAATCTGTGGTTTTAGTAATCCTCTGAATAATCCTGTGGGAAACCATTAAGATAAAGGAACCCATCAAGAGTGGTAAATATCAAATTTTTATGGAATGAGGACTAAAATACTACCAGCTATGGCATTTAAGATGGTCAGTGAACTTTGACACAACAGGAAGAGTTTTTTAAAAACACCCTACGATTCTAGTGCACCCTTAAGTTTTGAGAATCACTATGTTAGAGGATAGCAATGTGCCCTCCCTAGACCAGATAATAGTTGTTATAAAAAATAAACTTATTTAAGTCACTGTAACATAGCAGTTATCTTAACACAATGTTTAATGGAAGAAACCATGTAATCAAGACCGCAGATACACAAATTCTGGCTCCACTATTCAGTAGCTGAATTTTGGCAAGTCATTTCACCTCTCTGAGCCCATTTCATTATCTATATACATGGATATAACAAAAATAGTACCTCCTCTTGTATGGCTGTCATAAAAATTAAGAGATTATAAATTTAAAGTGTATAGCAGTAAGCAATTAACAGTAACTGCTATTATTACAATTACTACCAAAATGGGCAATCTGGTCAAATACAAAATGCAAGAATTCACTGCTCCATTACTGAGAGGATAAAAGAGTTACTTAGAGGTGAAAATGAGCCACTAGCTATGTGGGCATATGTAATTTCATCTCCTATGTATAGCATTTAAGAATTACAGTCCATCTTCCAACTATACCACAGCATTCCCTACTGTTCTCTAGACTAAAAAACTAGTACCAATGACTCACCATATATGTATTTTGTTCTATCTTCCCTTATGCTATATCTCTTGCCCAAGTAAAAGCTCATCTATCAGTACTCATCTTAAATATCAAATCTTCTACAGTCTTCTTTGTTCCCCAGCCTAAAATGGCTTCCTTCAAGTAGATTCAAATAAGTTGTTGTACTTAAGAGTTAAATGTATACAGATCCTCCACAAAGTCTAAGTTAATCATCTGGGATCAGGTGTCTCAAATTATTTATATCATTGTCAAAACTTACTGACCAGTTATAAGATTAAGTAGAAATGAGAGAATTTTGTTTTTATTACCTGAAAAGACTCTCTATTTTTACGCTGACGTCTCCTTTCTCTCAGCAAACTCTTCTGTTTTTCTTCTTCTTCTTCTTTTTCCAAAGCCCGAATGTGTTCTTCAAAGCAAATTAATGCATCTTCTTTATCCATGTCTAGTTTTTTAGTTAAAAAAATAAAAATGTCAATTATCAGTAAGGAAAGCAATTTAATTATTTGTGTTAACTCCCTGCAAATTTCAAATTCACCTTCCCAAAATACTTGTATGTAAACTCAAAAATGATTTGAAGTCATCTAAACAGGAAATGTTTAAGGAAATTTCCAAAAAGACCTCAAAAGGTACCCAGAATCCAAAGATGAAACAAAAACCATGCATATGACACAAAATTAATGAAAAAAATTTATAAAATTTGTCAGCAATATCAGAGTTACCCAAAGAGACTTTCAAAATATAGAATTCTAAACTCTACCTGAAATCTACTGAAGCATGGTGTTCAGATAAGTAATCAAGAAAGCTGTAATTTAAAAAGCAACTACACAGGTCAGAAAACAGCATGGGGATGCTTAATGTAAGATAATGCTAATATTTTGTGCTTTTTGCAGATCTCTAAAAACCATTACCTCAAGACAGCATAATTTATTTGTTTCTCTATTACAGAGTTTCATATAAATGGCAAAGGACATTTTCAAGTTTGATCTGATAGATATACAAGATTATCTGAAAAGAGATAACTTCAGATTTCTAAAAAAAAATACTTTGTTCTGTCTGAATCACAAAACCCAATTGCAAAGAAATTTCCTATTTGTAAACAAAAGTTTCTGAAAAATAGACAATTGTGTAAAATTCAGTCAGATCTCAGAACAAAAGTGAAAATCATTACTCTTACTCTGTAATTCTTCATCTTCTGCAAAAGTTGGATTATCCATCAGATACTGCTGGGCTTCAGACCAAGTAGTAGAGTATGTTACATTAGCCATGTTGTCAAGTATGTTTTTTAATGCTTCCCAATTTCTCTTTCTCAATTGCTTTGCTTGCTCCTAAATCACAAGTACAAGCACACATTTGGATTTCAAAGAAAGTATGATACATGAACTGCAATTGGTGAAAGCTTCTTTACATTCTCACTGATGACCAAATGTTACCCATTTCCTTTAAATAACACTGTCTTTCCAGGGCTCTTGTCAAACTGCCTAGCTTAGTACTTACCTTCAATTTTTTCACCTCTCTTCTAAAGCCAGAATCTGGAAACCATGTTTGCTCCAATTCCATAAATCTCTTCCTACACCTATGCATTACAGACAGGGTCTAAAACTAAAGTCACTGCAGAAAAGTCACATAATGGGTAAATGCCAAGGTCTTATTCCACTTCAAATTTTAAAATATAATTTAATGTCTCTTAAAGATTGGATAATACACAACTTAGTTCCTAATAAAACAGACATGAGCCAAAGAGGTGATAACACTGTCTTACAAGTAATATTGGTGTGAACAACTACATATTACTGCTGTTCTTATTAAAATAATCATAAAGGCATTATATGCAAAAATACTGAGTATCTTTAACCATGATGAGTTAAAAAAAAATCTTATTTTTCAGAATGGGTATAACACAGCCAATTAAAGACAATATGAGTAATAGCTGGATAAATCTATCTACTTCAGTATTTAGTATAGGTGCTATCCGTTTTTAAATCTTTTAGTAAACAAATCTGCTGTATTACATAAACTGGATAAACTTACTGACAAAAATAGACATTGTAAAGTAACTCCTAATCAGACTGAAGACACATCTTAATTTATTTGTAAATGCCAATAACAAAGAGTGAATAATACCTTTTCTTTTTTTGAAAGGAAGAATAAAACATCTTCATAGATTTCAAGACGATCACGTTCTGATATTGCATTCCAAACTTCCATCTCTCCAAACATTTGCTCTGCTTTTCTATTTGTTAAAAAAAAAAAAAAATCAAATGTTATTCTGTATTACACAGTGTAACTTTTAAAACCATTTAAATTTTATAATAAATTCTGAAACCACCAAATGATACTGTTTTCCCCTCTAAGTTCATGACTGTATTATAAAGAAAAACTTTTGGATAATTAAAAAAGAGAACAAAGCAGCTTAGGCTTCCATTTCTCTTTAAGAGTATTTACTTCCAATTGAGCTGTTTTGTAGTCAAGACTATCTCTATTTCTTAAGGGTAGGGAGAGAGACTGCCAAACTGTCCATTTAACTAAATTATAGACTTAAAAATTTGTCAGAGATTTAGTTAACACTCAAAAAATAGTGCCAATAAGAAAAGAGTCTTTCACGAACGTTTTTCTGGAAGAGTAAAGAAAATAATGAAACATCTATGGAAAGTGAACTCAATATACTGCAAAAAGAAGCTATTAATATTTACCTACAACTTTATACAGTAAAGAACTATAAAATGAAGAATGTATATAAATGCAAGTTGTCAAAATTCTACACTCAATGGTAACAGCCTATTTCTACACAACAAATACCCAAACTTTCAATTCTTACATTAAGTTAAGAAACCAAGCTTTATTAAATTCAGTCTTTCTCCCCTTTGTGTTCTAGTCCCTAATTAGACTCAAGAAGTCTGTAAGATATATACATGATTACTGATGTATTTTGTACCTTAACAAACTGCCACATTCACAATAGTTTAAGCTTTGTTTAACAATCATCTACTTTGGATTAGTTACTGCACTTGATGAAAAGTTTGGCAAATAAACAGTGTCTAGTAAATATTGCTCATGTGTTATTAAAAATCTTACTTATATCTGGTTGTGGAAGTCATTTTCTCATGATTTTCAAGAAAACGCTGAAAGGATTCCTTAGCTTCTTTGTATTTTGATCTTGCTTCTTCTTTTTCTTCTTTCTCTGTCTGGACTTTGTAAGCATTAAAGGCCTGCTTTTTTTCACTCAACTTCGCTAAAGCACTAAATAATAGATATCATATAAGAGTAGAAGGCAGGATGGTCAAATGTTAGTGCTTTGAAAAACAATACAACTGATTTTATACACAAATTAAGAAAATTTCAGTAAGGTACTAAAAATAAGATTGTATTAGAAGATAATTTCTACTTTAACAATAATCTCATCTGTACCTGGCTGTTCAGATTGTATGATAAGCCTTTTTGGCTTTTTTGTTTCATATCAGATATAAAACATCTCTATTCTTGGTATCAAAAAATAGACAATGGGAGTGAAGAGTTAAACAAGTTCACACCATTCTGAATTTGCTAGGCTTGTTACTCTCAAAGAAAAACAGGAAATTAAAAAATTGAAATATTACCTGTACCGTGGATCATTAATGATCATTTTCATAGCTTGCTCCCATGAAGCATTAGATGGTACCCGCTGAAAACCATTTAATGAAAAATTAAATTTCGCAGAAATATAGTAAAAGTCATACAACAGGGAACAAAGTATAAATACTCACTGCAAACATCAAGCACTTCCCTTTGTAGGAGTTTGAAAAGAGGTCTAAAAAAGTAATTTCTTATTGAAGCAAACAAGGCAAATCTGGGTAATAGACCTATAGACTAAAAAGAAAACTTAAACTGAAATTTAAACAGAGCAAGACTACTGACTAAAAGATAAGTAATTTTTATTAAAAAGTCCTGAGGTGGAATGTGCTGTACATAATAGTTTTTCTGTTGAAAGTCAGTTTCAAAAGACAAGACAAATACAAATTGAGCTCATCTTCCATTACAACAGGTCATGAAATTAGTATTTTCAATAAAGGAATCGAGGTACTGCATTTATTAGATAATTATAAAAATCTGTAATATAAATACCTTTTCTTTCAATAATTCTTTAAATGCTTGCTTTGCTTCCTCCTTTGTATTCCAAGTATATGTTTTTTTTGCTGGTTGGCTTTCCTCCTCTTCTTTTTTGGGAGTAAAACTAGACAGAAATTTAAACATGTAATTTATAATTAAAAGAATACTTCATTTAGAAAAATTGTTTTAATTATTAAGCTTCATATTGAGCTAAAATCTGGTAATTTTAGAATAGTCTCTTATATGAACCTTCCACACTTACCTGAACATAAAGAAATAAATGTAGTATGTATTTTTTTCTGAAACATGTAGTTATGAAGACCTTGCACAAAGGCAAAAATTAACATTACACTAAAACACTAGTTTGACTAGACCACAACTTAATACTTTTAAATGGCTTATAAGACTTATTCAATGCCTTCATTTTAGTGCCTTAATAATAGGATTTGAGAAAATATAAAAAAGATGTAGAGATCAATCAAAGTAGGGATGAGCAAACTACAACTCACAGGCCAAATCCAGCCTGCTGCCTGTTTCCGTAAATAGAGCTTTACTGGAACAGAGCCATGTTCATGCATTACATACTGTGTACGGCTGCTTCTGTGTTACCACAGAACTAAGCCACTGTGACAGACTTCACGACCCACAAAACAAAAGTATTTACTTTTTGAGAGTTCATGATAAAAGTCTGCCAAATGCTAACCTTAAACAGAATTAACATACCCAATAATTATTAATTATATTTGTTTAGGGTACATTATGAAGTAAAAAAGTGAAATCCTAACATTTCTTCCCTTATAAAAAGTACAAAATGAAAAAACAAAAAGACTTTGAAGTAGAATATTTAGGGGAAGATACAGGAATACATACTAACACAAAAGTACAAATATATCTACACTCTCTCAATCAAGTAACCTTACTTTGGGAAATATATTCAAAATTGTCAAAAATATTATTCAGAACCTAGCCCAACATTAACAGCTGTAAATGGCCTATACTATAGTAATTAAAATCAAAAGCTTAGTATAACGACTCAGCACTGTAATAAGGAAATACTAGAAAGAGAAACAAAGCAGGAAAACAATTGTGTTGTCTGAAATTATGTAAAATAAATTATTATGGAAAAACTACAGTAAATATGAAAATATTTTGTAAAAGAATATCATTCCATAAAGCTTAAATGTAAATCAGAGAAGCACTTAAATTTATGTATTTATAAATAACAATGAATACGTCATCATTCAACATGATGGGGTATTATCTCTATCAATGTGGAAGATATTTATTTTTAAACTGTATGTGTTTTAAATGCACAGAAAAAGAACAGAAGGATATAAATAAAACGTTACTCTTTTATGTCTTCAAATATACAGCAGAAATTTCCTTTTGAACTTGTAAACGAGAAAAAACTATGACACTATTCTCAGTTTGGGAAACAAGAAAAACAAAAGATTTACAAAAAGGGTTAGGGATACGAAATTCATATACTTAAGCACTGAGATGGGTGACTGATCATGTCTGGATCTCAACATCATGGCTAACATTTTTTTTTGTATATGTGGAGATCTTTCAAGTCAAGCAGTATAGCTCAAGGTTACTTTTCATATGTGTATAAAGCAGAACTATTACTAGATCACAGGGTACACAACTATATGGAAACTATATGGAAACTGATAGATGCAGTTTATAGTTCTGCCTTATTAAAAAGCCATAACAAATTTAATCTCAGTACCTATACCCTACTGAACATTACGCTTTTTTAAAAAAATCTACTTGATTTCTGCTTTCTTGTTCAACATCAAACTACAGCATTACATTCTTACAGAAATGTAGTGCTGCGCTAATCTATATTTGAAACTGAGGCAAAAGAAAGAAAATCTGTAATAACTGACTCTGTCTTTATTTAAATTTTGGTATTTTATTAAATATGGACTTTTTACACTAATTTTAATTGAAATATTGGACCATAATATGGCTTGATTACTAGGATTTTGTGTACTCCTTTAAATTTGTGCCTTACACCCAACCCCAGCTCTGCTTTCCGAAAACATGTGTGCATTACTTTTACAACAGTTTGATGGCATAACTGCACAAAATTCAGCACTGAAAATATCCATTACTTAAAGGCTTAAACTTTGAGTCTCAAAAATATTTGAGAAACTTAATGGCTACTGACTGAACTTCTATTAATGAAATCTGATACTGATTTGCAGCAGGAGACAAGTTACTAAACTTACTCAGCTACAGTTTCCTGCTTAGATGCTTCTTCTCCAGTGTTACTCGATACTTCAGCACTTTGATCCTGAGCAGGAGTACTAGTGAGCTGTGCTTGTTCTTCAGTTGAGATTGTTACTGTATTTTCATTATCTACAACAGTAGCAACAATTGAAGTAACTTCAGGCTCAGGAACAACTGAAACAGTTCCACTGACAGTGTTGGAAGCAGAGGTGGAAGAACTGGCACTGGCTGCGGCGGCGGCAGCTGCAGCTGCGGCGGCGGCTGCCACAACAGCAGCGGCTGCTTCTGCAGCCGCCATGGTGCTCATTGTGGTTGGAATTTCTGTTGTAGGAACTGGGGCTGTTGCTGCTGTGATGCACTCTTCTTGCTTACTACATGTTTAAAAAAGAGAAAATTGGTCATTTCATTATTAATACTCACAAAGTGAAATAAAGCTAGTTTTCAGTTACCATAAAATCAAACAAGTAAGAGGAACTATTAAAAGGGAAAAACAGGCAGTGCTGCCAAACTATTAGGCCAGTCAAAAAGTTCAGAACAACAGAATGAAACTGGGTTACTTAGATGAAATACAGCAAACATTTCAGAAATTATGACAGGCAACCATGCCACACTCTCCAATTCCAGAAATCCAGTAATTGTTTTCATTTAAAAAATGACCTATTTATCAGATTGTATTATACCATAAAATATAACCTGTATCATACATTTCTGTAAGAACTTTAAATTTTATTCATTTCACCCATTAAAAGGAAAATCTGAATTCTGGCACAAAAACAGACACAAAGATCAATGGAACAGAAAACAGTCCAGAAATAAACCCATGCTTAGACAGCCAATTAAGCTCTGACAAAGGAGGCAAGAACAATACAATAGGGAAAAGACAGACTCTTCAAATAAACGGATGCTGGGAAAACTGGACTGCTACATGCAAAACAATGAAACTGAACCACTTTCTTACTCCATATACAAAAATAAACTCAAAATAGATTAAAGACTTAATTCTAAGACCTGAAACCATTAAACTCCTAGAAGAAAACAGACAAGAAGCTTTTAGACATTAGTCTGAGCACTTTGTTCATACCTTCAGGCAAGGGCAACAAAAGCAAAAAAAAAAATGAGATTTTATCAAACTACAAAGCTTTTTGCACAGTGAAGGAAAACATCAATAAAATGAAAAGGCACCCTAGTGAATGGGAGAAGATAATTTCAAAATTATATACTCAATAGAGGCTGATATCCAAAATATGTAAAGAACTTACACAAGTCAGTATCAAAAACAAAACAAAAACCCCAAAGAAACCAACTAAAAAGAAGGCAGAAGACCTGAATAAATATTTCTCCAAAGATGACATACATACAGCCAAAAGGCACATGAAAAGATACTCAACATCACTTATCATCAGGGAAATGCAAATCAAAACCACAATGAAAAACCAACTCATACCTGTCAGAATGGCTAGGATCAAAAAGAAAAGAAATAACAAATAGTGGTGAGGATATAGAAAAATGGAACCCTTCTGCACTGTTGGTAGGAATGTAAATTGGTGCAACCACTATGGAAAACAGCATGGAAGTTCATTCCTCAAAAACTGAAAAATACAACTACCATATGATCTAGCATTTCTACTTCTCAGTGTCTGAAGAAAATGAAAACACTAACTCAAAAAGATACATACAGAACACCTATGTTTACTGCAGCATTATTTACAAAAGCTAAAAAGTGAAGATGACCAAAGTGTCCACTGATAAATGGACAAAGATGATGTGGTACACATATATGATGGAGTATTATTCAGCCATACAAAGAACAGAATCCTGTCATTTATGACAACACAGAAGGATGTAGAGGGTACTGGCTAAGTGAAAAAGGCAAAGACAAATACCATATGATTTCACATACATGTGGACTCTAGAAAACATGTGGACAAAACAAAACAAAACAAAAAACTCAGAGCTACAGAGAACAATTTGATGTTTGCCAGAAACGGAATGGGGAGATGGGTGAAGCAGGGGAAGGGCATTAGAAGGTACAAACTTTAGTTACAAAGTAAGTAAGACATAGGAATACAATGTACATCATAGGGAATATAGTTAATAATATCAGAACAATGTTGTATAGTAACAGATAATAGCTAGATTTTACTGTGCTGATCATTTCCTAATGTATATAAATGATAAATCACTATGTTGTACACTTGAAACTGAAATAATATTGTATGCCAACTATAATTAAAAAAAAAAGGAAAACCTGAGTAAAGGAACAGATATATACATATAATACTTCATTCCCATATTAAATCAAATTCTGGACTTTTCTTTAAGTCTTCTTAATTTGTAAAGAATGCAGTCCAAATGCAAATAATCACTGTCTAGTAACAATTCACTTATGTATCTTGAGTCAGTATCCCTCTCCCTGCCAATCCTCCAAAACCACCAAACTGTCAGGCCTAACATATTAAATACTATTTATATTATAAAGCAGACAGTTAAAACAAGGAGTTACAGGACTACCAAATTCATAAATACCTACTGATGTCCAAAACTGCTTACCTGCTTTCTTCCACTTTGATCATTGCTATTAAAGAAAAAATAGAAAAGTTAACATGCTACATAGTTTTTAAATATAACCACTGAAAACCGATTTTAAAAGGAGATAAAGCCTCAAAGATTGAATTTACTATCCTTAAAAAAAAAAAAATCACTGCTTTTACAGAGCAAATGTTTGCTCTAAAGTTTCAGGGCAGCAATTAAAGAATAAAGACAAATTTAAATAATAGCAGTTTTTAGAAAGCTTCTCCCCACAGTGTTACTTTTCGAAAGGCTGCTAGGTACTGCAAAAACTCTCTCAAAGTATCTACATAATTCTGGAATAAGATAGTATTTACCCAGGGATAAAATCATTTTTTAAAAAAGATACTGAATTCAAAATGGGATCAAATTCATGTTATGAAATTCCAGCACATATATACTAGCATTGACAGGTAGATAGACAGTTATGCACACCAACTATTTGTAGTAGGGTTATATCAGAAATGAGCTTGACATTTCTTACATGAATAAACTGGTCATCTACCTATCTATGATATTTATTTTTAGCCAATGCTAGTATAGAAATTTAAACTGAGCTTTGAAGACTTTTACTTAATATTTCTTCTTTCACTCCAGTTTTAAAAACTAAATTTTCCTTTAGGAGTTAACAAAATATCTCATTCATTCCACATCATTAGGGAGTAAGGTGCTCCATGTGATAAAATAAGCTTAACTCTAACAATACTTTAAAAATGTATCCACCTTTAAAGGCAATTCTGAAAAGATTAAGGGTGGTTGACAAAATAAACTAAAGGGAGGTTATGATTACTAGTATGTATTAATATATTTTTAGGATACAATGATGACTAACACAATAAAGTAACACATCCTGTCAGATGTTACTCCACACTGCAGACCTACTTTACTAGCCCCATTTCCCTACCATCTGTTGCTTTTAATCTGAGAGTTGATGACACCAGATTCTATTAGAAGTGAGAGTACAACAACTACATTCTCAATTCTTACTCTAATCTCTGCTATCTTAAGTTTTGGTTTCCTGTTAGTATTTCTAGTTCTTATAAAATAGACACTTCTATTTTATATTAGTATTTCTAGATTTTCAGGGGTATTCTATGTAGTTTAGGATGTTGAAGTCTTGCCTTTGTAAGGCATGATTATATTCCATTTACCTTAGTTCTCCCATAGCAAACATACAGGCTATTTTGCAATGCTGTGCTAAAATAAAATCAGCATTAAATGTATTGTCTGACAATACAACTTAATAAAATTTAAACTGATGATTCAATATTCTCTGCTATCAGCTAAATGGGTTAAGCCACATATTCCATGTATGCACCAACACTCGAAGCTGTACTTAGGAATACCGTACATGATGTCCTGCAATTTAACGATAAGTGATGTTTCTCTAAAACATCAAAGTACAACTTTAAAAGCTACAAGCTCATTTATAATATAACCCTTAAACGAAAGGAATTCTTTGAATTAGAGATTTCTCACTGCAGATTTACCAATTTTGGTTAGTGAACATCAGTAACATACTCTAAAAATGTTAAATAATGACAGAAAATGAATTATCAAAGCAGCTCACCATGCAGGTTTGATTTTGTAATAAGACTTCCAGCAACAATGGTATTCTGGTATCCTAGTTTCAGTGGAATCAAATCAAATAAAAATCTATTTAAAATCTATAGAACTGAGATCTAGAGCAACAAGAAAATAAGAGCCCATAAAACTGTTATACCATTTAAAATATTCTAATCATTTAATTTAAAAACATAGGCCTTTGTTTGAATAATCCTATTTATGAAGGACTCATTGTTACAATGTGAATAACATATACGTAAAAAAACATTAAAAATTACTTTTTCTGGTTTTACCTTCAAGATCCTCAAGTTCTTTAGGTTTGGCCCAGCGGGATTCTTTTGTCTGAGAATTGTAATAGTAAGGCTTTCCAGAGTCAGATTTGTACTCCTTCCAGGGGCATTTAGATAAAAGTTGCTAAAGGGAAAAAAACCCTACCAGTTAACAGTAATATATTTATAGTTAGCATCATTCATCATTCACATCACTATTTTCAGTGCATATTATCAACTTATACAATTCTAAAGCTTGTTGAGATAATATAAGCTACCAATAATAGGATACTAAGTGATGTTACTTTATTATTTAATCTTTACAATAACACTATAATATTATACTATTACTCCAAATTTACACTGTTACTTAGAGAAAGTGACGTGTATAAGGTAATATACTTACTCAAAGAGAAGAGGCAAGATTTAAAATTTGGTCTCTGTAAATGTCAAATTCTGTATGCTCTTGACATTTATATCCAATCACAGGTAAAAATTATCATCTATATTTCACAAATAGACTTCTCAAATACTAATACAAGTAGGAAAACCATAAAACTTGGGAGAAAGCAAAATCTGATTGACTCACACTTAGATTTCAGTTTCACATTCATTTATTACAAACCTGCATGAATTGCCTTACGAAGCAATTTAAGTTTGACATACTTAAAACCTAACATAAAACTGGTTAAGGTGTTATGAGAATACTACTGAAAACTCAAATCTAGAAAATATCTTGGGCAAACAATCAATTAAGTATTACTATTATCAGTACTGGGATAAATAAAAAATTGCAACATCTATCAACCTCCCAATCCAAGTAGTGCTGGGCATATTAGTGTGGTAGCCTAGATAATACATTAACATGCTTAAATTCCATAATTAAGAGAACAGGACTACCAAATTCATAAATACCTACTGATGTCCAAAACTGCTTACCTGCTTTCTTCCACTTTGATCATTGCTATTAAAGAAAAAATAGAAAAGTTAACATGCTACATAGTTTTTAAATATAACCACTGAAAACCAATTTTAAAAGGAGATAAAGCCTCAAAGATTGAATTTACTATCCTTAAAAAAAAAAAAATCACTGCTTTTACAGAGCAAATGTTTGCTCTAAAGTTTCAGGGCAGCAATTAAAGAATAAAGACAAATTTAAATAATAGCAGTTTTTAGAAAGCTTCTCCCCACAGTGTTACTTTTCGAAAGGCTGCTAGGTACTGCAAAAACTCTCTCAAAGTATCTACATAATTCTGGAATAAGATAGTATTTACCCAGGGATAAAATCATTTTTTAAAAAAGATACTGAATTCAAAATGGGATCAAATTCATGTTATGAAATTCCAGCACATATATACTAGCATTGACAGGTAGATAGACAGTTATGCACACCAACTATTTGTAGTAGGGTTATATCAGAAATGAGCTTGACATTTCTTACATGAATAAACTGGTCATCTACCTATCTATGATATTTATTTTTAGCCAATGCTAGTATAGAAATTTAAACTGAGCTTTGAAGACTTTTACTTAATATTTCTTCTTTCACTCCAGTTTTAAAAACTAAATTTTCCTTTAGGAGTTAACAAAATATCTCATTCATTCCACATCATTAGGGAGTAAGGTGCTCCATGTGATAAAATAAGCTTAACTCTAACAATACTTTAAAAATGTATCCACCTTTAAAGGCAATTCTGAAAAGATTAAGGGTGGTTGACAAAATAAACTAAAGGGAGGTTATGATTACTAGTATGTATTAATATATTTTTAGGATACAATGATGACTAACACAATAAAGTAACACATCCTGTCAGATGTTACTCCACACTGCAGACCTACTTTACTAGCCCCATTTCCCTACCATCTGTTGCTTTTAATCTGAGAGTTGATGACACCAGATTCTATTAGAAGTGAGAGTACAACAACTACATTCTCAATTCTTACTCTAATCTCTGCTATCTTAAGTTTTGGTTTCCTGTTAGTATTTCTAGTTCTTATAAAATAGACACTTCTATTTTATATTAGTATTTCTAGATTTTCAGGGGTATTCTATGTAGTTTAGGATGTTGAAGTCTTGCCTTTGTAAGGCATGATTATATTCCATTTACCTTAGTTCTCCCACAGCAAACATACAGGCTATTTTGCAATGCTGTGCTAAAATAAAATCAGCATTAAATGTATTGTCTGACAATACAACTTAATAAAATTTAAACTGATGATTCAATATTCTCTGCTATCAGCTAAATGGGTTAAGCCACATATTCCATGTATGCACCAACACTCGAAGCTGTACTTAGGAATACCGTACATGATGTCCTGCAATTTAACGATAAGTGATGTTTCTCTAAAACATCAAAGTACAACTTTAAAAGCTACAAGCTCATTTATAATATAACCCTTAAACGAAAGGAATTCTTTGAATTAGAGATTTCTCACTGCAGATTTACCAATTTTGGTTAGTGAACATCAGTAACATACTCTAAAAATGTTAAATAATGACAGAAAATGAATTATCAAAGCAGCTCACCATGCAGGTTTGATTTTGTAATAAGACTTCCAGCAACAATGGTATTCTGGTATCCTAGTTTCAGTGGAATCAAATCAAATAAAAATCTATTTAAAATCTATAGAACTGAGATCTAGAGCAACAAGAAAATAAGAGCCCATAAAACTGTTATACCATTTAAAACATTCTAATCATTTAATTTAAAAACATAGGCCTTTGTTTGAATAATCCTATTTATGAAGGACTCATTGTTACAATGTGAATAACATATACGTAAAAAAACATTAAAAATTACTTTTTCTGGTTTTACCTTCAAGATCCTCAAGTTCTTTAGGTTTGGCCCAGCGGGATTCTTTTGTCTGAGAATTGTAATAGTAAGGCTTTCCAGAGTCAGATTTGTACTCCTTCCAGGGGCATTTAGATAAAAGTTGCTAAAGGGAAAAAAACCCTACCAGTTAACAGTAATATATTTATAGTTAGCATCATTCATCATTCACATCACTATTTTCAGTGCATATTATCAACTTATACAATTCTAAAGCTTGTTGAGATAATATAAGCTACCAATAATAGGATACTAAGTGATGTTACTTTATTATTTAATCTTTACAATAACACTATAATATTATACTATTACTCCAAATTTACACTGTTACTTAGAGAAAGTGACGTGTATAAGGTAATATACTTACTCAAAGAGAAGAGGCAAGATTTAAAATTTGGTCTCTGTAAATGTCAAATTCTGTATGCTCTTGACATTTATATCCAATCACAGGTAAAAATTATCATCTATATTTCACAAATAGACTTCTCAAATACTAATACAAGTAGGAAAACCATAAAACTTGGGAGAAAGCAAAATCTGATTGACTCACACTTAGATTTCAGTTTCACATTCATTTATTACAAACCTGCATGAATTGCCTTACGAAGCAATTTAAGTTTGACATACTTAAAACCTAACATAAAACTGGTTAAGGTGTTATGAGAATACTACTGAAAACTCAAATCTAGAAAATATCTTGGGCAAACAATCAATTAAGTATTACTATTATCAGTACTGGGATAAATAAAAAATTGCAACATCTATCAACCTCCCAATCCAAGTAGTGCTGGGCATATTAGTGTGGTAGCCTAGATAATACATTAACATGCTTAAATTCCATAATTAAGAGGGGGAAAACACATTGTCATCAAGGAAAAACTTTAAATACAGCTTGAAATGCCAGATCAACTTTTACTTAGGACTTCAGAGTTCCTAATTTCACCACATGCAATATTGCTTACTCAGTTAATCCCTTCAATTATAATTCCGTATCTGTATACTTTGGTAAAACGTGCAACATAAAATGAAATACACATACTTTTTGGGGGTATTTTTGAAGAGATAATTACCCACTCTAAGAGAAGAAAGCATTTGTAGTTTAATTTTACATCCAGTATCCCAACCCCACAAGGAATTTTATAGAACTCATCAGAAGATATCTGAAATCACCCAGGTTTGCTATAAAGACAATCTGAAACATGAATTTAAAAAAAGGCAAGGGGAGAGGGGGGGAAGTAGAGATAAAGTCTTTTTCTTCCAACTGATTCTTTAAATCACCTTCCTTAAATTGATGCCACCTAACAAGAGTTTCTGAGCAGGGGCAAAATGACTAAATAAAACCGGTCAGCCCAGATGGGAATGGACTTTATTTGTCCTGTTGCTAGTATGATTTTATTAACTCTTTTCTTTCCTGAATGCCTCTACAGCACTCTTTTCTGAGACTTAAGCAGTGAGACCATTCTTTGGATAGTCAAATACCCACAAAATCCTGTCTCCCCCAAACCCCAAAACAAAAACCAGTCTGTTAAACAACCCCTAACTTCTAGGCCTCAAACTTTTACCTCAGCAGGTGTTTTAAGATCATCTGGTTTCTCCCAAGTAGACTGTTTTGTTTCAGTATTGTAGTAGTAAGTCCTCCCATCAGGTGATTTATGTTCAGTCCACATTGATTTCTTTAATTAATAAAAAAAGATAAAATTATTTAACAGTGCCATTGAGAGAAAATATCAGTATCATTAGTTTCAAAGCAATATATGGAAAAGAAATTAAAAATATAAAATGGGCATACTTTTGACAGTTTAAGTCATTTAGAAGAATTCACCAATGCAAGTAGGGATGTAACTGAAAAGTAGACTATTTTAAAAGTACTTCAAAATATCATGGATCAATTCAGGTTTTAGGATTTCTTTCTATTCTACAAAATCTCAGTATAATAAGGATATGGTTGCTCTCCTAAGATCAGTAACTTTGTAACAAATGCACATAAGACCATCTTTCAGCAACAAAAATCTGTGTTGTGGATAAAAGAGAATATACAAACTGGATGCTAAAGTACTATAGGTGGATTAATTGTGATCAGCTATAATCCAAAGGATATTTACATAAAGTTGGACAAAGACCATCTTTCAGCAATACAAATCTATGCACTATGGAAAAAATATATGAATTAGAGATGCTAATGTAGTGATGGTGGATTGATGATGAGTTCACCAATTATAATCAAGGAATATTTACATCAAATTGGACAAAATTTTAAATTGACATGCCATAAAGATGCAGTTATCAAAGTTAGAAAGGAAGGATTCTGGATAACAATCCAGAATTTAAAGAACCAACAAGGTGAAATTTAACAGGCATAAAATATGAATCCAAATGCTTCAGCATTAAGATAGGTGAGATAAAGTTTTGAAACTAGTTTGATATAGAATATAAACCCACTCTTGGGGTACAAAAAAATAAAAAACTCTATATAAGTTGCTGCAAAATCCACAGGCATAAATCGACATGATGTCCAAATAAAGGTTGGTAAAAAGTTTTACAAGGTTACCATAACATACATGAACATACACACAAACACACAAAACAGTAATAATCAAAGGGTGGAAGGAAACTTTGAGAGGTGATAGATATCTAAGGTCTTGATGTTGGTGCTAGTTTCAAGGTGCATACTTATTTCCAAAATTATGCACTTGTACACATTAAATACGCACAGCTCCTTACATGTCAATCGTACTTAAATAAAGTAGTTAAAAACTTAGCTTTACAAGGAATCATGAATAAATTACTGGATGAGATCAAAAGTACTAAGTCCAATTCTGGGCATTAGACTTTCAGATGGTAAGAAATTAAAGTATGCCTGAAAGAGGGGTTACAGAGATGATGTACACACATTTCTTCAAATCTAAGACAAACCATTATTGTACAAAACTCAAAGAAAGAAAAAGGAAAATCACTGTGAAACTATTATGTACTTATACTAGACTTCACATTAAATTTTTTGAAAGGATTTATTCTTGCTTAGACATTGCTTTTATCACATATTACTTTGTGAACACATGAAAAGGAAAACAGGCAAATAAAAGTTAAGCTATTCCTTAAACTTCACACTGAGACAATTTTTTTGTACCAAGAGTTGATGTCCATTATATTCCATACAATATTATCCTCTGTGGCATGAGAAGTATTAGTAATACAGCATTAAAAAAAAAGGAGTAATGAAAACTTCTAAAAAAAGGAATTTGGTTATTAACTTTCCTTTGTACTTATTTAAAGATGACCTACCTTTCTTTCTTCCTTACCAACTTTGAGTAGTAACAGGTATCTACTCTTAATTTCTACTTTGGGAATGTGGCTAAATTGATCCACTGCTTTCCTAACTCTCTCACCACAATCATTTTATTCCTAGCTAATAATAAAAGAGTCCTGTGCCATTATTTCTAGGCTTTTCTTCCAAACCTGACAGAACAAACTGACATTCGTTCTTCTGATGCTGGCACTTTTTTTGTTCAGTTACATATAACTAAGCCATAACTGCTGTGTGGAGAAAAGAGATCATAAAACACCACGGATTATAGGATGCACCCCAATTTCAGATGTGTTTAATGGTGAAAAAAATATGCTAATTGTAAACTAAGTAATTTCCAAAATGTGGAGATGAGGAACAAGAAAGATGACTTATCAAGAAAATAACTTGCTGTCATTTTAACAAAAGTAGATGAGGTAAGATGACTTACCTCAAAAGCATCTGAGAAGATAAGTAGAGTGATTATGAAGGAATTATAGATAGTCATTAGAATCCAGAGACAGAAATTGATAAAATTCAAACGGATAACAAAACACTTGGCCTTTTCTATAGAGATCAAGTCATATGACTTATTTACAAAATGTATTTCTGAATGATGTAGCAGGACTGTTAGCTAATTACAAAGGTGTATGAAATTCTTTAACCTATTCAAGCACTTGTGCAAGATGTGACAATTAATGTGACAATTAGCCTCTTCTGGGGAAAACATGAAATAGCTTCTGGAAGTGAAATAGCTTCTGGAAAATATTTAGCTTGCTGTTATTCATCTCTTCTAACACCTTGGATCAAAAGATGATACAATTAGAAATATATATAGGAGCTTCAGCTGCATGGGTAGGTAATGCTTTATTTCATAAATTAAAAACTGTGAAGATAATGAGGTTCTACTGTAATACCAAAACCAGGCAAAGACACCACAAAAAAAGAAAATTACAGACCAATATCCCTGATGAACATAGATGCAAAAATACTCAACAAAATATTAGCAAACCAAATTCAAAAATACATCAAAAAGATCATCCATCATCATCAAGTAGGATTTATTCCAGGGATGCAAGGATGGTAACATTTGAAAATCCATCAATATCATCCACAACATCAACAAAAAGAAGCACAAAAACCACATGATCATCTCCATAGATGCTGAAAAAGCATTTGACAAAATTCAACATCCATTCATGATAAAAACTCTCAACAAAATGGGTATAGAGGGCAAGTACCTCAACATAATAAAGGCCATATATGACAGACCCACAGCCAATATCATACTTAACAGCGAGAAGCTGAAAGCTTTTTCTTTAAGATTGGGAACAAAACAAGGATGCCTACTTTCCCCACTTCTATTCAACACAATACTGGAGGTCCTACCCATTGCAATCAGACAACACAAAGAAATAAAAGGCATCCAGACTGGCAAGGAAGAAGTTAAACTGTCCCTGTTTGCAGAAGACATATTATACATAAAAAACCCTCAAGAATCCACTCCACACCTACTATATCTAATATCTGAATTAAGGAAAGTTGCAGGTTACAAAATTAATACACAGAAATCTGTGGCATTCCTACACACTAACGATGAACTAGCAGAGAGAGAAATCAGGAAAACAATTCCATTCACACTTGCACCAAAAAGGATAAAATACCTAAGAATAAACTTAACCAAGGAAGTGAAAGACCTATAGTCTGAAAACTGCAAGACACTCATGAGAGAAATTAGATACCAATAAATGGAAAAACATCCCATGCTCATGGATAGGAAGAATTAATATTGTCAAAATGGCCATCCTCCCTAAAGCAATCTATAAATTCAATGCAATTTCTATCAAAATACCAACAGCATTCTTCAACGAACTAGAGAAGTCATTCTAAAATTCATATGGAACCACAAAAGACCTCAAATAGCCAAAGCAATTCTGAGAAGAATAAAGCTGGGGGGATTATGCTCCCCAACTTCAAGCTCTACTACAAAGCCACAATTATCAAGACAATTTGGTACTGGCACAAGAACAGACCTATAGACCAATGGAACATACTACAGAGTCCTGATATAAACCCAACCATATTTAATATATGATAAAGGAGCCATGGACATACAATGGGGAAATGACAGCCTCTTCAATAGCTGGTGTTGGCAAAACTGGACATCTACATTAAGAGAATGAAACTGGATTATCGTTTAACCCCATACACAGAAGTAAACTTGAAATGGATTAAAGACTTGAATGTAAGTCATGAAACCATAAAACTCTTAGAAGACAACATAGGCAAACATCTCCTGAATATAAGCACAAGCAACTTTTTCTTGAACACGTCTCCTCGAGCAAGGGAAACAAAAGCAAAAATGAACTCGTGGGACTACATCAAAGTAAAAAGTTTCTGTACAGCAAAGGACACCATCAACAGAACAAAAAGATATCCTACAGTATGGGAGAATATATTTGTAAATGACATATCTGACAAGGGGTTAACATCCAAAATATATAAAGAACTTACATGCCTCAACACTCCAAAAGCAAATAACCCAATTAACAAATGGGCAGAGGATATGAAGAGACAGTTTTTCAAAGAAGAAATTCAGATGGCCAACAGACACATGAAAAGATGCTCCACATCACTAATCATCAGGGAAATGCAAATTAAAACCACAGTGAGATATCATCACCTCACACCAGTAAGGATGGCCAGCATTGAAAAGACTAAGAACAACAAATGCTGGCAAGGATGCAGAGAAAGGGGAACCCTCCTACACTGTCGGTGGGAATTTAAGCTAGTTCAACAATTGTGGAAAGCAGTATGGAGGTTCCTCAAAAAACTAAAAATAGAAATACCATTTGACCAAGTAATCCCACTCCCTGGAATTTACCCAAAGAATACAACTTCTCAGATTCAAAAAGCCATATGCATCCCTATATTTTCTGCAGCACTTTTTACAATAGCCAAGATATGAAAGCAACCTAAGTGTCCATCAGTAGATAAATGGATGAAGAAGATGTGGTACATATACACAATGAAATACTATTTGGCCATAAGAAAGAAACAAATCCTATCATTTGCAACAATATGGACAGAGCTGGAGGACAGTATGCTCAGTGAAAGAAGCTACGCGGAAAAAGACAAATGCCAAATGATTTCCCTCATTAGTGGAGTATAACAATGAGGCAAAACTGAAGGAACAAAATAAGAGCAGACTCAGAGACTCCAAGAAGGAACTAGTGGTTTCCAAAGGGGAGGGGTGCGGGAGGGTGGGTGGGGAGGAAGGGAGAAGGGGATTGAGGGGTATTATGTTTAGTACACATGGTGTGGGGGGATCATGAGGAGAACAGTGTAGCATAGAGAAGGCACATAGTGGATCTGTGGCATCTTGCTGCA